CTATGTGTCTGTGGCAGGGAGATGCAGGTCTGTCATTGCTATGTGTCTGTGGCAGGGAGATGCAGGTCTGTCATTGCTATGTGTCTGTGTGCTAAAGAGATGCAGGTCTAGCATTGCTATGTGTCTGTGTGGCAGGGAGATGTAGGTCTGTCATTGCTATGTGTCTGTGTGCTAAAGAGATGCAGGTCTGTCATTGCTATGTGTCTGTGTGGCAGGGAGATGCAGGTCTGTCATTGCTATGTGTGTGTGTCAGGGAGATGCAGGTCTGTCATTGCTATGTGTGTGTGTGTGTCAGGGAGATGCAGGTCTGTCATTGCTATGTGTCTGTGTGGCAGGGAGATGCAGGTCTGTCATTGCTATGTGTCTGTGTGCTTAAGAGATGCAGGTCTGTCATTGCTATGTGTCTGTGTGCTAAAGAGGTGCAGGTCTGTCATTGCTATGTGTCTTGGTGGCAGGGAGATGCAGGTCTGTCATTGCTATGTGTCTGTGTGGCAGGGAGATGCAGGTCTGTCATTGCTATGTGTCTGTTGGGCAGGGAGATGCAGGTCTGTCATTGCTATGTGTCTGTGTGGCAGGGAGATGCAGGTCTGTCATTGCTATGTGTCTGTGTGGCAGGGAGATGGAGGTCTGTCATTGCTATGTGTCTGTGTGCTAAAGAGATGCAGGTCTGTCATTGCTATGTGTCTGTGTGGCAGGGAGATGCAGGTCTGTCATTGCTATGTGTCTGCGTGGCAGGGAGATGCAGGTCTGTCATTGCTATGTGTCTGTGTGGCAGGGAGATGCAGGTCTGTCATTGCTATGTGTCTGTGTGGCAGGGAGATGTAGGTCTGTCATTGCTATGTGTCTGTGTGGCAGGGAGATGCAGGTCTGTCATTGCTATGTGTCTGTGTGGCAGGGAGATGCAGTTCTGTCATTGCTATGTGTCTGTGTGGCAGGGAGATGCAGGTCTGTCATTGCTATGTGTCTGTGTGGCATGGAGATGCAGGTCTGTCATTGCTATGTGTCTGTGTGGCAGGGAGATGCAGGTCTGTCATTGCTATGTGTCTGTGTGGCAGGGAGATGCAGGTCTGTCATTGCTATGTGTCTGTGTGGCAGGGAGATGTAGGTCTGTCATTGCTATGTGTCTGTGTGGCAGGGAGATGCAGGTCTGTCATTGCTATGTGTCTGTGTGGCAGGGAGATGCAGGTCTGTCATTGCTATGTGTCTGGCAGGGAGATGTAGGTCTGTCATTGCTATGTGTGTGTGTGTCAGGGAGATGCAGGTCTGTCATTGCTATGTGTCTGTGTGCTTAAGAGATGCAGGTCTGTCATTGCTATGTGTCTGTGTGGCAGGGAGAAGCAGGTCTGTCATTGCTATGTGTCTGTGTGGCAGGGAGATGCAGGTCTGCCACTGCTATGTGTGACAAGGAGGGGGCGATGCAGGTCTGTCATTGTTATGTGTCTGTGTGGCAGGGAGATGCAGGTCTGTCATTGCTATGTGTCTGTCTGGCAGGGAGATGCAGGTCTGTCATTGCTATGTGTCTGTGTGCTAAAGAGATGCAGGTCTGTCATTGCTATGTGTCTGTGTGGCAGGGAGATGCTGGTCTGTCATTGCTATATGTCTGTGTGGCAGGGAGATGCAGGTCTGTCATTGCTATGTGTCTGTGTGTCAGGGAGATGCAGGTCTGTCATTGCTATGTGTGTGTGTGTGTGTCAGGGAGATGCAGGTCTGTCATTGCTATGTGTGTGTGTGTCAGGGAGATGCAGGTCTGCCGTTGCTTTGTGTCTGTGTGAGTGAGTGAGTTGGTTTTAACACCACTTTTAACAGTATTCCAGTCATATAGCAGCATGTCGGCTTAATATGTGAGGAAAGCCCGAAGTGATGCAGGTCTCAGACGTTTACTGCTTCGGTGAAACCCATGAGCATGGGTATGGTGCTGACAAACCTAGAAACATAATCCGGGGGGAACCGGGATTCAAACCCAAAATCATAGGTTTCTGGCATGCCCAAGGGATGCATCTCTGCACAGCAAATCGCGGCGCCTTAGACGACTGGGCCACCCGTGCCCCCTGTGTCTGTGTGGCTGGGAGAAGCAGCTCTGTCGTTGCTATATGTCTGTGTGCTAAAGGATGCAGGTCTGCCATTGCTATATATGTCAGGGAGATGCAGGTCTGTCATTGCTATGTGCCTGTGTGCTAAAGAGATACAGGTCTGTCATTGCTATGTGTCTGTGGCAGGGAGATGCAGGTCTGCTATTGCTATGTGTCTGTGTGCTAAAGAAATGCAGGTCTGTCATTGCTATGTGTCTGTGTGCAAAAGAGATGCAGGTCTGTCATTGCTATGTGTCTGTGTGGCAGGGAGATGTAGGTCTGTCATTGCTATGTGTCTGTGTGCTAAAGAGATGCAGGTCTGCCATTGCTATATATGTCAGGGAGATGCAGGTCTGTCATTGCTATGTGTCTGTGTGCAAAAGAGATGCAGGTCTGTCATTGCTATATATGTCAGGGAGATGCAGGTCTGTCATTGCTATGTGTCTGTGTGGCAGGGAGATGCAGGTCTGTCATTGCTATGTGTCTGTGTGGCAGGGAGATGTAGGTCTGTCATTGCTATGTGTCTGTGTGCTAAAGAGATGCAGGTCTGTCATTGCTATGTGTCTGTGTGCTAAAGAGATGCAGGTCTGTCATTGCTATGTGTCTGTGTGGCAGGGAGATGCAGGTCTGTCATTGCTATGTGTCTGTGTGGCAGGGAGATGTAGGTCTGTCATTGCTATGTGTCTGTGTCAGGGAGATGCAGGTCTGTCATTGCTATGTGTCTGTGGCAGGGAGATGCAGGTCTGTCATTGCTATGTGTCTGTGGCAGGGAGATGCAGGTCTGTCATTGCTATGTGTCTGTGTGCTAAAGAGATGCAGGTCTAGCATTGCTATGTGTCTGTGTGGCAGGGAGATGTAGGTCTGTCATTGCTATGTGTCTGTGTGCTAAAGAGATGCAGATCTGTCATTGCTATGTGTCTGTGTGGCAGGGAGATGCAGGTCTGTCATTGCTATGTGTGTGTGTGTGTGTGTCAGGGAGATGCAGGTCTGTCATTGCTATGTGTGTCTGTGGCAGGGAGATGCAGGTCTGTCATTGCTATGTGTCTGTGGCAGGGAGATGCAGGTCTGTCATTGCTATGTGTCTGTGTGCTAAAGAGATGCAGGTCTGTCATTGCTATGTGTCTGTGTGTCAGGGAGATGCAGGTCTGTCATTGCTATGTGTCTGTGTGGCAGGGAGATGTAGGTCTGTCATTGCTATGTGTCTGTGTCAGGGAGATGCAGGTCTGTCATTGCTATGTGTCTGTGGCAGGGAGATGCAGGTCTGTCATTGCTATGTGTCTGTGGCAGGGAGATGCAGGTCTGTCATTGCTATGTGTCTGTGTGCTAAAGAGATGCAGGTCTAGCATTGCTATGTGTCTGTGTGGCAGGGAGATGTAGGTCTGTCATTGCTATGTGTCTGTGTGCTAAAGAGATGCAGGTCTGTCATTTCTATGTGTCTGTGTGGCAGGGAGATGCAGGTCTGTCATTGCTATGTGTGTGTGTGTGTGTGTCAGGGAGATGCAGGTCTGTCATTGCTATGTGTGTGTGTGTCAGGGAGATGCAGGTCTGTCGTTGCTATGTGTCTGTGTGGCAGGGAGATGCAGGTCTGTCATTGCTATGTGTCTGTGTGCTTAAGAGATGCAGGTCTGTCATTGCTATGTGTCTGTGTGCTAAAGAGGTGCAGGTCTGTCATTGCTATGTGTCTTGGTGGCAGGGAGATGCAGGTCTGTCATTGCTATGTGTCTGTGTGGCAGGGAGATGCAGGTCTGTCATTGCTATGTGTCTGTTGGGCAGGGAGATGCAGGTCTGTCATTGCTATGTGTCTGTGTGGCAGGGAGATGCAGGTCTGTCATTGCTATGTGTCTGTGTGGCAGGGAGATGGAGGTCTGTCATTGCTATGTGTCTGTGTGCTAAAGAGATGCAGGTCTGTCATTGCTATGTGTCTGTGTGGCAGGGAGATGCAGGTCTGTCATTGCTATGTGTCTGTGTGGCAGGGAGATGCAGGTCTGTCATTGCTATGTGTCTGTGTGGCAGGGAGATGCAGGTCTGTCATTGCTATGTGTCTGTGTGGCAGGGAGATGTAGGTCTGTCATTGCTATGTGTCTGTGTGGCAGGGAGATGCAGGTCTGTCATTGCTATGTGTCTGTGTGGCAGGGAGATGCAGTTCTGTCATTGCTATGTGTCTGTGTGGCAGGGAGATGCAGGTCTGTCATTGCTATGTGTCTGTGTGGCAGGGAGATGCAGGTCTGTCATTGCTATGTGTCTGTGTGGCAGGGAGATGCAGGTCTGTCATTGCTATGTGTCTGTGTGGCAGGGAGATGCAGGTCTGTCATTGCTATGTGTCTGTGTGGCAGGGAGATGTAGGTCTGTCATTGCTATGTGTCTGTGTGGCAGGGAGATGCAGGTCTGTCATTGCTATGTGTCTGTGTGGCAGGGAGATGCAGGTCTGTCATTGCTATGTGTCTGTCTGGCAGGGAGATGTAGGTCTGTCATTGCTATGTGTGTGTGTGTCAGGGAGATGCAGGTCTGTCATTGCTATGTGTCTATGTGCTTAAGAGATGCAGGTCTGTCATTGCTATGTGTCTGTGTGGCAGGGAGAAGCAGGTCTGTCATTGCTATGTGTCTGTGTGGCAGGGAGATGCAGGTCTGCCACTGCTATGTGTGACAAGGAGGGGGCGACGCAGGTCTGTCATTGCTATGTGTCTGTGTGGCAGGGAGATGCACGTCTGTCAGTGCTATGTGTCTGTGTGCTAAAGAGATGCAGGTCTGTCATTGCTATGTATCTGTGGCAGGGAGACGCACGTCTGTCATTGCTATATTTGACAAGGAGGGGGAGATGCAGTCCTGTCATTTCTATGTGTCTGTGTGGCAGGGAGATGCAGGTCTGTCATTGCTATGTGTGACAAGGAGGGGGCGATGCAGGTCTGTCATTGTTATGTGTGTGTTCTTCAGGGAAGGGGAGATGCGAGTCTGTGTGGACCAGCTGTACCATGGATCCAGCACAACCAGTGGAGAGCCAACAGTGACTCCACCATTGCTGCAGGAGACACTGACCAATCTAGACACAATGCTGGTCAAGCTGGAGGCATCCATTATTGATGTCATCAAGGATCATGATACCAAGAAGAAGGTAAAGAAAATAGTTCAAAGTAATGATGATCCTCAGATGATCAGATGATCCATGAGCATCAATACAGGGAATAGGAAAATGAGTTTGTATCAAGGTAGTATGATGAGCTATTGATAGTTTAACTGGAAACTGCACTATTAAATAGCTTCAATTCTGTGAAACCTCAGTTACTTTTTGGTGGGGTAATTCTTTTTATAAAATCCATTTTATCTCCACCAAAATGTAACTCCGGAATTCGAGCCTTGTTCAGTGGGATCTGAAGACAAGGCGGAAATATCCAGTTGAGTACATACGAGGAAGTGCCTATTTATTCCAACTTCAGTATGCTGCTCACCAGAATTTTCTATGAACACTAGTACTGTCAACATCCGACTGTGCTACGCTACAGGCATATTCAGCAGCGAATCAACCTCCTCCTCAAGCAAACAATCCCCATGACTTTAGATCACGAGCATCCACGATGGCACTTCATGGCAACTGCTGTCGCCTCGATTATTGAGGCATGTTTTGGGAAATCTGACGCAGTCTGTCTGCAAGACCTGTCAGGAGAGGATGAAGAGAGCGTTGACAGTTTTGGGCCATTGATGGTTGCACAGCTATCGCCAAGCGAAGACATCGTTGATAGTGTACCACCAGGCCCTGTCTCTTGTTATCCCCCAAAGCTAGGACACTGTTGCTGTTAACACTGGGGAGTGGCAGTCTCGCCTTATGTGTATTATTTCACAGGCATACAATTTCTTATTTGTTCTGGTGGTAAGCTTGTTGGCCGATTTGTTTATGGAAGTGTTCTCTCTAGGTGAGAGATCTCCATTGGGATAACTTTTCGGTTCAACAGCAACAAATTGCTTTATATGTAATGCAGGATAAGTGTATAAATATAATATTTTTAAACTTATCCTATCTCACACTTTGTATCTTCTTCTTCGATCCTATTTGGAAACATGAAGACAAGATTCTTTGACCTGATAGTGTCTATCAAGAAGGTTTTTAAAGATATTTCATACTTTGATTTTTTCCTGTTTTTATTAAAAACTAAGTATTATCAATATCTAATATATTTGGAAATTTTAGTATAAATTGTATATTTATATACTTATCGTATCTCACCCTTTGCATGTCTTCTTCTCCGATGCTATGTGGAAACATGCTTGAACTCCAGCATCTAAAACGAAAACTTTCTCCTGAACACACCCCAGCTTCTCCATAGTTATGACCAACAACTGGGCCCGTGCACCCTAACCTTACTCGAGCTGACCCCTTGTGTACCTCTGCCAACTCATTCTCTTTCTTATCGCCACTTTGTGTTGACATGTTTTGACAACTTAGAGAAGTTCTCTGTCTGTTTTTTTTCTCTGAATTAACAAAGCCTACACCAAGGGCAAAAAAGACAGACAACATCCGGCATGCAAAGTGTGAGATAGGATATGTTTATGCTAAATTTTCCAAATTGTTAAAGGCGCACTGATCTAAAGCAATTCCCCGGGACTGGTTGTTGCCTTTGTTACTGTTTTTCCCGTGAGTACCTGGATCATATAGCAGAAATCTAGACTAGTTTGCAACCTGTGTTTGCCATTCGTAAGCACATTTGTCACTTTTATTGATAGTATAAGAGCGTATGGTCACATTGATCAACAAAATGAAATACAGTTTTGGAAATAATGAGGAAATGTAGGTAGGTATCTTTGTGGGTGGCATCAGTAATGGTGACAAAGTTTTGATATGTCACTTGCTTGGTAATTGTGCGATTTTCGTTTACACTTTTTTAACGTGCAACACATAGTAAATATTTCACCTGAGCATTGCTTATTTTATCGTGTATATATTTTTACAGTCAAAATGTGCAAAATTTTCACTTAGGAAATTTATTAAAGCCTAAATATTCAGTTATTCTATAAATTGACTGAAAAATATGTCCATCTGTATTATTATAACAACGAATTCCAAACATATTAATGTTAAGATGTAAAGTGCATTTCTATATTGTTTGGCTTTTAATCATACATAATAATCTATTGTGCTGTTTTTAAGCCCATTTGATCGTCTTAATCATTTTAAGTCAATCTGTTAAAGAAATGGACAAATTTTTCATTCAAAATATGTAGAAATATTAAGACATTTTATAAATTGCCCGAGAGATTCACATTTTACAAATTGAATGTACAAAGGAAAAGACTTGTGAAAATTTCCCAGCCAAGACGTAGCGGAACAAGAATGAATCTGTTCAATGCTACAGCAAATGAAGGAAAACAAAATTCAAATATCATAATTACAACCTACCAAATTTATATGTATAAGTTTAGGCAGCTTCCTTGTTCGAGGAATGTATCCGTGAATATCCACATAAAGGAACAATATCCCACACGTCTGCAGCTGTACAAAGAAACTTATTTGATGTCACTTGTCTCTGTAACAATCAAATAATTTAAAATATTGTTTCGGGATATTATAACCCGTGTTTGTTTCTCAACTGATCACTTAGTTTGTTTCATTTATTTAACATAGGTGTCAAGTCTTAAAGGTCAGCTGAAAAAGCCCACGTGACAACTATTTTCATAATGTCCATGGTTCTTTAAAAAAAATCCATTGAGTTAGATAACAATGAGCAATCAAGGTATTATTGGTTAACAAAGTATGTTGTTTTTACATCAGCACTTCATGCCATGATATGAGTGTATTCCCTTTGCTTTAGTAAACCTACACATGTAAACAGTTACTTATGACATATCCACTGTGCAAGATAACAGTGATTAATCAATCAACGTATTATCTGTTAATCCTTTGATGACTAGGAATAATCTGTTGATTTACAAAAAAGTAAATCAAAGGATCATTCATCTTTTGCTTGGCTGCCACGTGCATATTACATAACACACAGTACCTGGATTTAGATTGAATAATTACCCCAGACACAATAAATGCCAAATGGGAACCTTTGTCAGGTCATCTGAGTGGTGCTACCACTAACTATACCTGTAATAAATTCATTAAGTGAATGACGACAAATACATAAGTGTAGGGTTATACCAGAAAACGTGGATAACTACAAGGGACTAGTAATCATATTATCGAAGCAATCCGAAATCGGAAAAAAATTTTCACTACATGGATACTTTTTTATTATTATTAAACTATAACCATCAGGGGTATTTCCAAATGACAACATCTGATGAGCTTCCGCCGTTCTTTTTGTCTGTTTATTTAGGCTGAAGAAATTAATTAACATGCACCCTTTGTCGAAATCTTTATAGATCACGGTTAACCAATCAGTGTTCAAATATGCGTAAAACAGATATTGCCTCCAAGTTTATTTACGCTGTCTCTTGTCACGCTCAGTTGCATTAGCGAGCAAATCGACTCGAGCAGCTTGTGAGCCCCAGCAGCCAGTGTCAGACAGCAAGGCATTAGAGATTAGTGCCCCTTTAAATTGTATATTTATATACTTACCCTATCTCACAGACAATATGCCCACACGACCATCCTTCAATCGTAATTCCTCTAGCCTGATAGCTCAGTGAAAGAGAATGATTTGGCAGAGGTATACACGTGGTCATCTCAGGCAAGCTTACTGTGCACAGGAGCACTAATTGACCCAGTTGTTGGTCGTAACCATGGAGATGCTGGCTTGTATTCAGGTGAATGCTTTTCTTTTAGAAGCTGGAAACATGGTTCAAGCATGTTTCCACATAGCATCGGAGAAGAAGACATGCAAAGGGTGAGATAGGATAAGTATATAAATATTAAATTTATACTAACATTTCCAAATATATTAGATACTAGTATTGATTGTACTTAGTTTTTAATAAAAACAGGTAAAAATCAAGGTATGAAATAGCTTTAAAAATCTCCTTGATAGACACCACAAGGTCAAAGAATATAAAACAATTGTATGACGTGTACCGACACGCTGAGATTCAGTTTTGTTCTTGCCAGTTAAATTTTGGAAAAAGCTTTTTTGAAAACTATTAGTAAAACTATTGAGAAACTTCCTTTTTAGAAACCAGAATGGCAGCTTTGTTAGAATACCTATGGTCATTAAGTCATTTATGATTAAAATCCTGGTTACGTCCATGTATGTTTCAATGACCGTTCTCTTTTATTAGTGATAAAAACAACTTCGGGGTAATTGACATCGTACATTTTCAAAGGACAAAATGTGAAAGATCGCTAAACAGCCCTAACAATACTCAAATTGACATCGCTCAATATCGGGCATCATTATTATTTCTTAATAATTAACAAGATTATACTAACGTAATACCACCCAAAAGTAAGTACATGTAGATTCAATCAAAATTGTTGAAACGTTTTCATGGGCAGCAAATCTATTCAACAAACCTATTTTCGATCACTCGCAACTCGGGCGCCGTATGTCATTGTTTCACTATGACGACCAGAAAACATACATCCTCGTATCAGGTCGTATTTCGCACTTAGCTACCTAACTTTGACCTTTGCTCAATGGCCAGTCCATGAAATACCACTTTTTCTTTCATTTATTCATTTGATTTATAAATACAACTTTAGAAGTGTATTAAATTTACACCTAGCTAGGTATATACATGTACATTTAAGGACATACGTGATAGTTTATTTCCACTAGTTTCCCATTCCATCCCATTCTACTAAAGGAAAAGTTTGAAATAGATCATGATCGTAGGCCAATGAAAGTAATGGAATTATTTGGCATAAAAGGAAAAATATATTCTTGGTATTGAACTTCGAAAATTTAACCAGCAAAATCTTTAATAAAAATGGTTTATTATGTCTTTCCTTTTTTTCTTAATTTTGGCCTAGCTAAACAACAGCTTGGAGGGAAGATATACAAATTAAAATGGTGATAAAAACCACAAGAATGTATTGATTTTGCTCTTAGACAAATATTTATTTAAAAAGAAAATCTATTTCATACCTAGGATACAAAACAAAGTCCCAGGTAGAATCTAATTACTACTATGTCACTGGTCGAAGTATTTGGTAATTTAGATAATGCAGAGTGGAAAAAGACATAAATATAACTATTAACTATTAGTCACATTTACACTAAAAACTTTTTGTCTTTCAGAAATTGATTATCTATATATTGTGAGAAATTCTAATTACTTTTACTGTTTATGTTATAAATTGAACCATTCGAGATTCAAATAGATGAAGCTAAAATATTAAAAATCTAGGTGGTTTAATATTGGATCCATTTTGACAGCTTTCTCACTGTACTCAACTAAATGCATATTATTTTTTTGGAATATCAAGCCTTCAAACAGATATGAAAAGCACATGTCAACATACCAAAATTAGAAAACTGCGCCAAATATTCTAACACTGTTAGTCAAATGATAAGCGGTCTCATTCACTCGTCGATCGCCGTAGACATTTTCCAATCGTGATGTACTAGATATGCTTTCTAGTTCAGTCAAAGAGAATATTGTTATTTGGAAAATGAATCCACGTGTATCCATTATACTACCACAACATTAGATCAGCTGTTTCATGTGACGTCATCCACGTCACAACACGCGAGGTCAAATCACGCGCACCTGTCCAGACGACAAATTCACTGCGGCGGGAAATCGCCGACCGTCTATTAGCCTATTTGAATAAAATTGCAGATTGTAACGAAATAAAATTAATTGTACTCATTGCTGACATTTCAGATGACATATCAAATAAGAGTTGAAGACTTGCAATATATTACCATACGTTAATCGAGAGTACAGTGTACATAAATAATTTGTAAATCTAATATTAATTTTTTATCTAATATCCATGGCAGAATGTTTGATAACGAGCTATGATATATTCCATTTTCTGAAGAGATTAGTAATGTGTATTTGATGATATAAATGCCAACACAATTGGTTATCAATTATCTTCTACAATCACAACATGTAACATGTACATTAGACTCATGGAATATACTATTTCAGCAAACCAATCACAACGCCATTATCACAGTTTCAATGAAAGGAAAAACAAATCGAAATCGAACTTAACAGCACAGCGTATCCATAAGCGGTTAATCCAAATACAAAAAGGTATTGATGTCATCATTGTAGAAGTTATGTTGATGTTTTCAGTAGTTGCATTATGTTTGTATCGCGTGTACCATCGACAGAAAGGTGGGCCGAGCTACCACATGTGGAACCGACCTTGACACAATTTGTTTACAATATGGCGTCGACTCACGTTAGATGTCGTGGTCACACTTTTGAAATCTCCATTTGCGACAAAATGTGAAATAGTTAGGGCAAGTCACTCACACGGTCAGATAGTTTGAGCAATCATACATGACTCTTTGTCATTTCATATAAAAAAGTAGCAGTTACTTGTCTAAACGGGCGAGTATGTAGGACAACCGGTAAACAAGAAATTGCGGCACAGATATGATGCGAATGTGCCCTGTCGATCACTTCGTGCTTGGCCATTAAATGTTTAGGTTTTGATCATGAACCTCCTGCCCATAAATATACACTATACCAACTTAATATTAACGATTATAGCTATCTTTCCATATCTTTGATTTGTATATTTTCTGTAAATCAGCATCATAAACAAAAAGACAATCTGCACTGTCGGTTGGTATGTACCACCGTGCTAAATCGCCATGACACACAGTCGATAAACATATGCAATACTTAAACAAAAAACTTCCGTGGCCGACTAAACGTTTGTACTCTTACGTCAATAACTGCACAGTGGGGACTAGTAAACCTTTCTGACCAGTCCGATCAGATTTTTTTTTCTAATTGGCTGTCTGATATAATAATAGTTACGTGTATGTGACATGGGTGCATGATAAAAAATTGCCTTCATTCGCAATGGCAGAAAAAGATCGAGAAGCGCGGTAAACACTTTACCAATCTCGCCATATTTCGCAAACCGTAGCATTGTATAAAGTATGAGTTACACGATGTTAAAGCTAAGATGATTGGGGTGATGATGGTTATAGTTTTGACTTTGCGCACTCAGTGTTTGATATCAAAATTCACAGTTTAAAAAGGGCATTTTCTCGGGACCATATATGGTCCCCTGGCACTATGCGGGTGTGAAAAGTGAGGGACCATATATGGTCCCGTGGCACCAAGAGGGTTAAACATCATCTCTTCAGAAACCACTTGACCGATAATTTTGAAACTTCACATGCTTATTCCAACCAATGACAACATCTGAATTTGTTCAAGAGATTGAAGTCTGATGTTGAATATGGCCACCATGGCAGCTATATTGAAAAAATCTATTTTTTACCATTTCCCATTTCTGCTCAAAATATACTGTAGTGCTCCCAAATCCTCCAAATAGAAAAGCAGTGAATATTATTTAGTAGTTCCAAAAATTATGAAAAGTGTAATTTTGATGACCATTTAAAGAATCGCATGTGATACATACTGTTGTATAATGGCTAGGACACCTCGTTGGCAGGAAGGTTCAACATAAATCAGCTGAACCTTTCTCCAGGTACAAAAGTAAGTTTAGTTTGGTAAACAATAAATAAGTGGTATAGGCAATTTATAAGTGACATAAATAACACATATAAAAACATTCTCTATTATAGCTGATAGCTATTCTTCTTGTTTTATTGATAAAAGATCTATACTTGAAGTAACAGAAACGCTAATTGTTTTGTTTTTGACAGCTGTTGAAAAGCAATCTACTCCAAGCCAAAGAGAGGGACCTATTCACATACTTCTTCAGCAGACCTGGCCAACTGAGGGAGACATTTGAGAGCATCAAAGAGCGGCTGCAGGCACAGACCGTTCACTGACAGTCATACCAGCAGCCCCCTGGCAAACACCAACTGTTCACCGACACTCATACCAGCTAACACCGACACTCATACCAGCAAACACTGACTGTTCACCGACGCTCATACCAGCAGCCCCCTGGCAAACACTGACTGTTCACCGACACTCATACCAGTAAACACCGACACTCATAATAGCAAACACTGACTGTTCACCGACACTCATACCAGCAAACACCGACACTCATACCAGCAAACACTGACTGTTCACCGACACTCATACCAGCAGCCCCCTGGCAAACACCGACTGTTCACCTACATTCATACCAGCAAACACCAACTGTTCACTGACACTCATACCAGCAGCCCCCTGGCAAACACCGACTGTTCACCTACATTCATACCAGCAAACACTGACTGTTCACCGACACTCATACCAGCAGCCCCCTGGCAAACACCGACTGTTCACCTACATTCATACCAGCAAACACTGACTGTTCACCGACACTCATACCAGCAGCCCCCTGGCAAACACCGACTGTTCACCTACATTCATACCAGCAAACACCAACTGTTTACCGACACTCATACCAGCAAACACTGACTGTTCTCCGACACTCATACCAGCAAACACCGACTGTTCACCGACACTCATACCAGCAAACACTGACTGTTCACTGACACTCATACCAGCAAACACAGACTGTTCACTGACACTCATACCAGCAAACACTGACTGTTCACTGACACTCATACCAGCAAACACTGACTGTTCACCGACACTCATACCAGCAACACTGACTTTTCACCGACACTCATACCAGCCAACACCGACTGTTCACCGACACTCATACCAGCAGCCCCCTGGCAAACACCGACTGTTCACCTACACTCATACCAGCAAACACCGACTGTTCACTGACACTCATACCAGCAAACACTGACTGTTCACCGACACTCATACCAGCAAACACTGACTGTTCACCGACACTCATACCAGCAAACACTGACTGTTCACCGACACTCATACCAGCAACACTGACTTTTCACCGACACTCATACCAGCCAACACCGACTGTTCACCGACACTCATACCAGCAGCCCCCTGGCAAACACCGACTGTTCACCGACACTCATACCAGCAAACACTGACTGTTCACCGACACTCATACCAGCAAACACTGACTGTTCACCGACACTCATACCAGCAAACACTGACTGTTCACCGACACTCATAACAGCAGCCCCCTGGCAAACACCAACTGTTTACTGACACCACTCATACCAGGAATAATGATCAAGAAAATTTGCCCTTTGAAGATGTATATGTATTTATTAAAGTTGCACATACTATCGACATTGACTTGTTCTTATATATTGATACATCCTTCTTTTACTTGTCTTCCTGATGTTCAGTATGTGTCATTCAATGTTATGTTTGGGGGTCATTGTAGATGTTCAGTATGTGTCATTCAAGGCTGTGTTTGGGGGTCATTGTAGAGTGAGATGTTCAGTATGTGTCATTCAAGGTTATGTTTGGGGGTCATTGTAGAGTGAGATGTTCAGTATGTGTCATTCAAGGTTATCTTTGGGGGTCATGTAGAGTGAGATGTTCAGTATGTGTCATTCAAGGTTATGTTTGGGGGTCATTGTAGAGTGAGATGTTCAGTATGTGTCATTCAAGGTTATGTTTGGGGGTCATTGTAGAGTGAGATGTTCAGTATGTGTCATTCAAGGCTATGTTTGGGGGTCATTGTAGATGTTCAGTTTGTGTCATTCAAGGCTGTGTTTGAGGGTCATTGTAGAGTGAGATGTTCAGTATGTGTCATTCAAGGCTATGTTTGGGGGTCATTGTAGAGTGAAATGTTCAGTTTGTGTCATTCAAGGCTATGTTTGGGGGTCATTGTAGATGTTCAGTATGTGTCATTCAAGGCTATGTTTGGGGGTCTTCCTAGATGTTCTTCATGTCATTCAAGGCTATGTTTGGGGGTCATAGACTGAGATGTGCAGTATGTGTCATTCAAGGTTATGTTTGGGGGTCATTGTAGAGTGAGATGTTCAGTATGTGTCATTCAATGTTATGTTTGGGGGTCATTGTAGAGTGAGATGTTCAGTATGTGTCATTCAAGGCTATGTTTGGGGGTCATTGTAGAGTGAGATGTTCAGTATGTGTCATTCAAGGTTATGTTTGGGGGACATGTAGATGTTCAGTTTGTGTCATTCAAGGCTGTGTTTGAGGGTCATTGTAGAGTGAGATGTTCAGTTTGTGTCATTCAAGGCTATGTTTGGGGGTCATTGTAGATGTTCAGTATGTGTCATTCAAAGGTATATTTGGGAGTCTTCCTAGATGTTCTGCATGTCATTCAAGGCTATGTTTGGGGGTCATAGAGTGGGATGTTCAGGATGTGTCATTCAAGGCTATGTTTAGGGGTCATAGAGTGGGATGTTCAGTATGTGTCATTCAAAGCTATGTTTGGGGGTCATTGTAGAGTGAGATGTTCAGTATGTGTCATTCAAGGTTATGTTTGGGGGTCATTGTAGAGTGAGATGTTCAGTATGTGTCATTCAATGTTATGTTTGGGGGTCATTGTAGAGTGAGATGTTCAGTATGTGTCATTCAAGGTTATGTTTGGGGGTCATTGTAGAGTGAGATGTTCAGTATGTGTCATTCAAGGCTATGTTTGGGGGTCATTGTAGATGTTCAGTTTGTGTCATTCAAGGCTGTGTTTGAGGGTCATTGTAGAGTGAGATGTTCAGTATGTGTCATTCAAGGCTATGTTTGGGGGTCATTGTAGATGTTCAGTATGTGTCATTCAAGGCTATGTTTGGGGGTCATTGTAGAGTGTAATGTTCAGTTTGTGTCATTCAAGGCTATGTTTGGGGGTCATTGTAGATGTTCAGTATGTGTCATTCAAGGCTATGTTTGGGGGTCTTCCTAGATGTTCTTCATGTCATTCAAGGCTATGTTTGGGGGTCATAGACTGAGGTGTTCAGTATGTGTCATTCAAGGTTATGTTTGGGGGTCATTGTAGAGTGAGATGTTCAGTATGTGTCATTCAAGGCTATGTTTGGGGGTCATTGTAGATGTTCAGTATGTGTCATTCAAAGGTATATTTGGGAGTCTTCCTAGATGTTCTGCATGTCATTCAAGGCTATGTTTGGGGGTCATAGAGTGGGATGTTCAGGATGTGTCATTCAAGGCTATGTTTAGGGGTCATAGAGTGGGATGTTCAGTATGTGTCATTTAAAGCTATGTTTGGGGGTCATTGTAGAGTGAGATGTTCAGTATGTGTCATTCAAGGCTATGTTTGGGGGTCATTGTAGATGTTCAGTATGTGTCATTCAAAGCTATGTTTGGGGGTCATTGTAGAGTGAAATGTTCAGTTTGTGTCATTCAAGGCTATGTTTGGGGGTCATTGTAGATGTTCAGTATGTGTCATTCAAGGCTATGTTTGGGGGTCATTGTAGATGTTCAGTATGTGTCATTCAAAGCTATTTTTAGGGGTAATAGAGTGAGATGTTCAGTATGTGTCAAACAAGGCTATGTTTGGGGGTCTTCCTAGATGTTCTTCATGTCATTCAAGGCTATGTTTGGGGGTCATAGACTGAGATGTTCAGTATGTGTCATTCAAGGTTATGTTTGGGGGTCATTATAGAGTGAGATGTTCAGTATGTGTCATTCAAAGCTATGTTTGGGGGCCATCATCATTGATGTTTGGTATGTGTCATTCAAAGCTGTGTTTGGGGGTTATCATAGATGTTTGGTATGTCTCATTCAAAGCTGTGTTTGGGGTTCATAGATGTTCGGTATGTGTCATTCAAAGCTGTGTTTGGGGGTCATCATAGATGTTTGGTATGCAAAGCTGTGTTTGGGGGTCATCATAGATGTTTGGTATGCAAAGCTGTGTTTGGGGGTCATCATAGATGTTTGGTATGCAAAGCTGTGTTTGGGGGTCATCATAGATGTTTGGTATGCAAAGCTGTGTTTGGGGGTCATCATAGATATTTGGTATGTGTCATTCAAAGCTGTGTTTCGGGGTCATCATAGATGTTTGGTATGTGTCATTCAAAGCTGTGTTTGGGGGTCATCATAGATGTTCGGTAGGTGTCATTCAAAGCTGTGTTTGGGGGTCATCATAGATGTTTGGTATGGGTCATTCAAAGCTGTGTTTGGGGGTCATTGTAGATGTTAAGTACTTGTCATTCAAAGCTGTTTTCCGTAGTCATCATAGAGAGATGTTCAGTATGTGTCATTCAAGGCTAATTGGGGTCTTCATAGATGTTCAGTATGTTTTATTCAAGGCTATGTTTGAGGGTCATTGTCGAGTGAAATGTTCAGTGTGTTTCATTTAAGGCTATGTTTGGGGGGTCATCGTAGATGTTCAGCATCTGCTATTTACGGCTATGTTCTTCCATGAATTGGGAAAAATACTTGAAACTTATCAGATGTTTCAAATCACAATAACAACCCTTGACTGTTTCCAGCTGATAGGACTTACACCTCACAGCAAAAGCTAATATTCATACAAAAGTTCTTCATTCTGAGTCGTTCGTAGGCTTTATTGAAATTTGAGGAGTTCGGTTGAACAGTGTTTCAGTTACATTACTGTGATGCTTAGGGTGAAATGGGGTTTAACAACGCGTCCAAGATTATTGCACTTATATATTGATGTGCATGCACATGTGTGTGTCTGCAGCCCACTAAGATACCATGCCACAGTTTAACATGAATACCCCACTCAGACACAGTATACTGACTCCGAGCTGACCAGTCCTTGACCCCTTAATGTCGAGCGCAAGACAGGGTAACAACAAGTATGATCTTTTAACGTCTTTTGGTATGACGCGGCTGGGGTCGAACCCCGGACCTTCTGCTCTCCGGGTGGACACAAGACCACGGAGGCGGTCCCAACAAGTAAATTAACACATGTCAACTGTTACATCATTTATTTCTATGATAGTGCTCATTATGCATACTCTTATTTTATGTTTTAAAACAATTTTAAATTCTCCTATACTTCTTAATGATACAACACAATTTGGCTAAAATGTTCTCATAAGATCATAACACTAGTCAACAACATCACATGCTGCATAACTGTCTCCTAATTGTTAACAATGAATATACATCACAGTGGACAGTCTGTTAATAAATCTACAGGTCTCCCAACAGCAATCCAGTTGCCATGACAAATGAAGACCCAATCTTTCTGAGACTTGACTGCCATGTACTTCGACCTCCGCCAATTACGAATACAGAGACACCCTCCACAACAAGTCCACTGAACCTTTTTCATTGAGATTGTTTTGAACCAAATATATTGACACATTTTAGAACAATAATTATTTTTCTTAGTCAATGTTAAAGTATATGACCGCCATTGTTTTCTTCAAATCCAAAAAATGTCAAGTTTGAAATTTTTAAGTAATATTTTTCTTTACATAAAAAAAACGTATACCAGTACAATCTGCAATATACCTAAGAATGAATCTCTGTAGATAATAGGACACAGTCCACTGTACTTCCATCAAGCACCAGGTGTGGTGAACTTTAAGTGACCCTAATCATGTCTCTGTATTCCCAACATGACCCAGCTGGCACACTAACACCCCTTTCCCCCCCCCCACCAGGGGTAGAGCTGGCAGAATATCGTGTACGACATGGACATAACTTGCCGCACTGCTGACAACCTGAGGAACAGCTCGTGCAGTAAGCAAACACAACCAAGTATGATTTCATAGAAACGAGATCAAAGTATGGTTGGTATTGATTGACAAAACCCTGACGAAGCCCACCCTCAGGAAACCGTGGACCATGGCACCGCAGTCATAAACAATAATAGTGCTGTAACAGTCAGAAAACCATGATTTGTACATAGCATGGGAATGATAATGTTCCTGAAAATATTGGTAAAACAGGCAGGAGACGAGGTAAATGACAAATACAAGGTTATCACATGTCTCAACTCATCAGAATGTTCAAATAAATTTACATCATAAATGAGCAATGTTACAGCTGGATGGGGAAAGAAATCATATACAATATAGTCTAAAAATGCTTAGATCATCAGTTTTACCTGCTCTATATACAGTCAGTGGTGTCTATGTACACAAGAAATACTGCTTGATAAAACAATGCATAGGTAACATGGAGAAGCTGGTTCTTCTGAAATAGCCCCAGTATCTGTGCTGGACAGTCACAGAGGGTCACACTGCCTACAATCAGGATGGAAAGAAAAGTTGCTGTTTTCAGTTAGGAATGTATTTGATTGATATGGACTAGTGCAGTTGGGTTCTGGTGTGAACAAGACGACACTCCATGACCGAGAACTCACAATGTCAGATTGTACAACAGGCTAACAGTGTTCACGTAGGGTTTCACTTTTTGGCGTACACAGAAATAAAACATGCATTATATACATATAAAAACAACTTAAAATCATGTTAAGATGATACCATTCCAAGAGTTAGCATCATAGTGGAGAAGAATTGCACAAAAGCATGACAAGAAGTGTCAAGTTGCCCTGGCACACTGAACATGAACATAAGGTGGGAGACATGGTTTGCACTTTCTGGGGGTCCTATCTCATTAGTGTTTATTTAACAGCCATATATTTCCATATATAGTGACATCACCATTTCAAAGGTATCCTACACTGTGCAAAGTGCCAACACATTGCCATTAAGACCAATACCAGCCACTGAATGTACAGCTGGTCTCTGTACGCTAGCCAACAAGTATCTCCTTACCACACAACTCCATGAACCAACTGCTGTCACGACATTGCTATGTCAACCACTGGAGATATGGCAATAGGGCTGGAATATGGATATTTTGATAGATATGGTAATTACTTCAATAACACTACTTAGTTAAGTTTCATTATATGAACTAATCGATATGTTTGAAATACTCGCTGTTTGTATGATTTAGCAGGGAAAAATGCTGTTACAATGTTGTATCACAAATACAATGCACACTCTAGGAAGAATACTTGTGTGATGCTAACAATGGAAATAAAGTAAACATCAAATCTCCCCGCAAGGTATTTGGATTCTACCTGTGACCTTGACAATACATTTGGTACGAGCACAGATTTGGAATGTTGTTGAGGCAGGAACAACATACAAACAAGTTGGTCCCACAGTAGGATTGTTCTAATGTAACTGGGTCACAGCTGCTCTGACAACATTAATCATGCAAGCTGACACGTTTCACTGCTTAATGTGAGAACAACATGTGGCAAGTGAGGAAAGCTACATGCTAACAATGCCCGATGGCAACTGTACATTCTGACAACACACTGTAAACCTAGAAACCCGGGGACCTTGATGATGGTCATGTTGGACATTTAAAGAGCACATCTGGTGGCTGACTTTGCAGTCAGGAGACCACCACTGCGTGCCTGATCAGACACTTGGTACTGTCAGGAGATCACCTGATCAGACACTTGGTACTGTCAGGAGATCACTTGATCAGACACTTGGTACTGTCAGGAGACCACCAATGCATGCCTGATCAGACACTTGGTACTGTCAGGAGATCACCTGATCAGACACTTGGTACTGTAAGGAGACCACCTGATCAGACACTTGGTACTGTCAGGAGACCACCTGATCAGACACTTGGTACTGTCAGGAGACCACCTGATCAGACACTTGGTACTGTCAGGAGACCACCTGATCAGACACTTGGTACTGTCAGGAGACCACCTGATCAGACACTTGGTACTGTCAGGAGACCACCACTGCGTGCCTGATCAGACACTTGGTAATGTCAGGAGACCACCTGATCAGACACTTGGTACTGTCAGGAGACCACCACTGCGTGCCTGATCAGACACTTGGTACTGTCAGGAGACCACCTGATCAGACACTTGGTACTGTCAGGAGACCACCACTGCGTGCCTGATCAGACACTTGGTAATGTCAGGAGACCACCTGATCAGACACTTGGTACTGTCAGGAGACCACCCCTGTGTGCCTGATCAGACACTTGGTACTGTCAGGAGACCACCTGATCAGACACTTGGTACTGTCAGGAGACCACCTGATCAGACACTTGGTACTGTCAGGAGACCACCTGATCAGACACTTGGTACTGTCAGGAGACCACCTGATCAGACACTTGGTACTGTCAGGAGACCACCACTGCGTGCCTGATCAGACACTTGGTAATGTCAGGAGACCACCTGATCAGACACTTGGTACTGTCAGGAGACCACCACTGCGTGCCTGATCAGACACTTGGTACTGTCAGGAGACCACCACTGCGTGCCTGATCAGACACTTGGTACTGTCAGGAGACGACCTGATCAGACACTTGGTACTGTCAGGAGACCACCACTGTGTGCCTGATCAGACACTTGGTACTGTCAGGAGACCACCTGATCAGACACTTGGTACTGTCAGGAAACCACCTGATCAGACACTTGGTACTGTCAGGAGACCACCTGATCAGACACTTGGTACTGTCAGGAGACCACCACTGCGTGCCTGATCAGACACTTGGTACTGTCAGGAGACCACCTGATCAGACACTTGGTACTGTCAGGAGACCACCTGATCAGACACTTGGTACTGTCAGGAGATCACCTGATCAGACACTTGGTACTGTCAGGAGACAACTTGATCAGACACTTGGTACTGTCAGGAGACCACTTGATCAGACACTTGGTACTGTCAGGTGACCACCTCTGTGTGCCTGATCAGATACCAATGCTGTCCAAGTGTATGTACTGCATCCAGATGACAAATGTTGCAGAAATGAAACAAAATCTGTCTGGTAAGTTATAGAAGAAACTAGCAACGTTTCATGGAACAACTTAATGGATATGCCTGGATATGTTACAACTACAAAAATAAACGCAAAATCAAACTGGGGCTATGACAATACACCTTGCAATGGGATATGAGTCTTGCTAGTTAGGTTGTGATGTCTTGACTGATTACAGCCAAACATCCTATAACATATGAAGGCATGAATTCTGTCACACTTAAACAATAAATTAAATACCTCTTTATCACAGCCCAGAACTATGTGAGTTTCTATGTTTATCTGTACTGGCAGCAGCCTCTGCATCTCTGTTGTCTTCATGATTTGATTATTGCACAATTTGACTGTTGTCCAGTTCCCCAGTGAAGAACAGTACACTTCATCTATATTACTGTCTCATAGTTACTACACAAATATCAGTAACATCTCTACACAAGTCTCAATCTAGATGGCAGTCAGTCTCCTGCTACTGCTGCCTTATGCACCACCCATTGCTTGTTTTGCAACATCCACCATATCAATGTGCCTTTGTGTTCACTCCTGGACTAGTGGCAGCAGTAGAAACTAGGGGAGACAACACTAGGTGGTACTAATTTATATGAAACTAGCGTGGATATTTTCACCCTCCCTACAGTTTCTAGGTGTCTTGAATTAATAATCTCCTAGCGTCACTCATGTCAATATAATGACTTCATTCCTTCTTCTTCAAACTGGGCCCAAGCTTCACTGAGTTCCATGAATATCATCCGTGCCAGGTTTTCATGTGGAGAGCCAGTAAGCTGAAACAGAAAATGAATTTTGAGGACATTTCGAAATATTATACATACGAGGGGTGGCTGAAAGGTCCTAACTATGCAGGATGTCACGAGGTACTCTGTTGATTAAGATGGACAAAATTGGCTACTGCACAGCCCAGTATTTACAACTGAAAGAACTAACTCCAACAGCCATCCATGCACACATGGTGTCAACTTTAGGGGATGATGCTCCTTCCTTAACAGGTGAGCAGCAGAGTTTAAGAGGGGAACAGAGAAGAAGATCAAAGATCAGAAAGGCCTTCCACTGTCACCACAGAAGAAATTGTTGACAAAATACATGTAATGATTATGGATGATTGATGACGCATATAGCCAAAAGGCGATGAGAATCGAAAACATTATGAGCCAGAGGCAAAACAACACTTAAAGGGGAAGTGTACAGGCAAAAATCACTTTCTTTCTTTTTCTGAACAAAACACAATTTTAGAATTAGTTAGTATCTGTGTTTAAAAATATAAACTCATTTTTTTCACAGTGAAAGTAGGAAGCTCACAATAGTGTGAAATTGATATGCCGTTATGAGGCCTTCGTTTTTCGAGCTAAACACGCCTGAGTTATCCCCCTTAGATTATGACGTAATTGGTGCCAATTCAACTGGGTCCCTGTCTATTCTCAACGCAAAAGATATCAAGTACCAGTTTGCGGTAAAACAGCATGGCCTACGACACACTCCGGCGCAGTGGTGACTCAGCATAACACTATGCTGGCTGGCATCTGAGACGCTAGAATCACAAACCTGTACCTACACCACGTTAAGCGGCTCTGACAAAGCATGATGACGTCATTATGTTTATCAATTGGCACCAATGACGTCATATTGCAAGGGAATAAGCCATGGTGTTTTTGTTATGGAAATAGAACACTTGGTAAATGTGAAAAATATAAATCGTTTTAATGCAAAAAATATGTTAATGTATTGTGTTATCTTTATATTTTTGTCCATGACACTACTAGGTTATCACTTTTAATGTGGAAAAAGTACAAGAAAAATAGGTTCATTTCCGTGTGAACTTGCCCTTTAAAGAAGTGGAACATCTAACATACCTCCAAGGAGTAGGCAACGTCCATTTCATCACCTGGCCTCAGTTTTCTGGGAAATTCTCCACCCTATTCTATTTGATGTAATGCCACTGTATTGATAAACTGCAAATGTTTTCATTGACCAGGAAACCCCGGGCATTCCGCCAAAATGGCCCTTGCATTTGAAAGGAAATTCTAAACTTTAATTAATTGAATTGTAAGACCAAGGTTTTACAGTTGAATTTTATAAACTGGCCTTTTTTACTAATCTAATGTTGATTTCTGATTGGTTAAAAGTCACAATTGTTTTCATATGAAAATTCCATGATGTGAATTGAACCTGCAACCTCACATATCATGATTAGTTTTGTAACCCACTGTTTTCCCACTGCCACCAGGGCAGACGATGAAAGAGTGTTCATTTTTGATGTCATGACTTCAGCTGTGTGCATGCTGCAAGTGGCCTTTTGCACGCATCCTTGATCTTGACTGAGAATGTAAACCCTGGGCATCGGGATATTTGGCCCTCCCAAATATGCCTCTGCCGGGGCTTACATTTTCAGTCAAGACTGAGGAGGAGGTTTTCATCTCTTTCCATCTTCTATCAAACTTTATTCTTCCTCCATGAAACCTTATTCTTTCCCTCCTTTCAAAGCTTATTCTTTCACACTCGCTACAGAGCCCTACATCCAGGTTACTGGGCTCTACATACATTACTGGGCCTATCCACAGGTGACTGGGCCATACACACCAGTTACCGGGGCCATACTCACTTTGTCTGGATGTACGGAGAGCACAGCCCTCCTGTAGACTTTCTTGACCTGGTCTGCTGTGACGAGCTCGTGCATGCCGCACTGCTTCCAGCGCTTCTCTTCCTCCCACAATACATTCTGGAGGGAGCACAGCAGAGCTCGTATGTTCTTCTCCTTCCCTTTGGACCATTCTAGCACCTTGCATCAAAGGTACACATATCATGATCAGGTGAGATAACTAACATCAAGGAACAACTGATGAAATAACTAATACATTATTCTCTCTATATTTTTCAAAAGGGTCTATTATCTTAAATAGCACAAGTTACGTGAGTGAGTAAGAGGTGCTACACTGCTTTCAGTAATATTCCAGAGATATCCTGGCAAAGACACCAGAGTTGCAGCAGACCAAAGGCATGACGACCTGTGTCACTGAGAAGGAGGAGCCTCTGGCAGACAGCTGAGACCAGGACGTGCCTTCATTACCAGCCAGGGAGGCCCAGGCTGGTTCTCACTTACCTCACTGGAACAACAGTACAGGCAGTTGAGACCAGGACGAGCCTTCATTACCAGCCAGTGAGGTCCAGGCTGGTTCACACATACCTCACCTGAACAACAGTACAGACAGCTGAGACCAGGACGAGCCTTCGTTACCAGCCAGGGAGGCCCAGGCTGGTTCTCACTTACCTCACTGGAACAACAGTACAGGCAGTTGAGACCCGGACGAGCCTTCATTACCAGCCAGTGAGGTCCAGGCTGGTTCACACTTACCTCACCGGAACAACAGTACAGGCAGTTGAGAGACAAGGACGAGCCTTCATTACCAGCCAGGGAGGTCCAGGCTGGTTCACACTTACCTCACCGGAACAACAGTACAGGCAGCTGAGAGACCAGGGCGAGCCTTCATTACCAGCCAGGGAGATCCAGGCTGGTTCACACTTACCTCATCGGAACAACAGTACAGACAGCTGAGACCAGGACGAGCCTTTGTTACCAGCCAGGGAGGCCCAGGCTGGTTCACACTTACCTCACCGGGACAACAGTACAGACAGCTGAGACCAGGACGAGCCTTTGTTACCAGCCAGGGAGGCCCAGGCTGGTTCTCACTTACCTCACTGGAATCACAGTACAGGCAGTTGAGTAAAGGACGAGCCTTCAGTACCAGCCAGGGAGGCCCAGGCTGGTTCACACTTACCTCACCGGGACAACAGTACAGGCAGTTGAGACCAGGACGAGCCTTCGTTACCAGCCAGGGAGGCCCAGGCTGGTTCTCACTTACCTCACTGGAATCACAGTACAGGCAGTTGAGTAAAGGACGAGCCTTCAGTACCAGCTAGGGAGGTCCAGGCTGGTTCTCACTTACCTCACCGGAACAACAGTACAGGTTGAGAGACAAGGACGAGCCTTCATTACCAGCCAGGGAGGTCCAGGCTGGTTCACACTTACCTCACCGGGACAACAGTACAGGCAGTTGAGAGACAAGGACGAGCCTTCATTACCAGCTAGGGAGGTCCAGGCTGGTTCACACTTACCTCACCGGAACAACAGTACAGGCAGTTGAGAGACAAGGACGAGCCTTTATTACCAGCCAGGGAGGTCCAGGCTGGTTCACACTTACCTCATCGGAACAACAGTACAGACAGCTGAGACCAGGACGAGCCTTCGTTACCAGCCAGGGAGGCCCAGGCTGGTTCTCACTTACCTCACTGGAATCACAGTACAGGCAGTTGAGTAAAGGACGAGCCTTCAGTACCAGCCAGGGAGGCCCAGGCTGGTTCACACTTACCTCACCGGGACAACAGTACAGGCAGTTGAGACCAGGACGAGCCTTCGTTACCAGCCAGGGAGGCCCAGGCTGGTTCTCACTTACCTCACTGGAATCACAGTACAGGCAGTTGAGTAAAGGACGAGCCTTCAGTACCAGCTAGGGAGGTCCAGGCTGGTTCACACTTACCTCACCGGAACAACAGTACAGGTTGAGAGACAAGGACGAGCCTTCATTACCAGCCAGGGAGGTCCAGGCTGGTTCACACTTACCTCACCGGGACAACAGTACAGGCAGTTGAGAGACAAGGACGAGCCTTCATTACCAGCTAGGGAGGTCCAGGCTGGTTCACACTTACCTCACCGGAACAACAGTACAGGCAGTTGAGAGACAAGGACGAGCCTTTATTACCAGCCAGGGAGGTCCAGGCTGGTTCACACTTACCTCACCGGAACAACAGTACAGACAGCTGAGACCAGGACGAGCCTTCGTTACCAGCCAGGGAGGCCCAGGCTGGTTCACACTTACCTCACCGGGACAACAGTACAGACAGCTGAGACCAGGACGAGCCTTCGTTACCAGCCAGGGAGGCCCAGGCTGGTTCTCACTTACCTCACCGGGACAACAGTACAGGCAGTTGAGAGACCAGGGCGAGCCTTCATTACCAGCCAGGGAGGTCCAGGCTGGTTCTCACTTACCTCACTGGAACAACAGTACAGGCAGTTGAGACCAGGACGAGCCTTCGTTACCAACCAGGGAGGCCCAGGCTGGTTCACACTTACCTCACCGGGACAACAGTACAGGCAGTTGAGAGACCAGGGCGAGCCTCCATTACCAGCCAGGGAGGCCCAGGCTGGTTCACACTTACCTCACCGGGACAACAGTACAGGCAGTTGAGAGACCAGGGCGAGCCTTCATTACCAGCTAGGGAGGTCCAGGCTGGTTCACACTTACCTCACCGGAACAACAGTACAGGTTGAGAGACAAAGACGAGCCTTCATTACCAGCCAGGGAGGTCCAGGCTGGTTCACACTTACCTCACCGGGACAACAGTACAGGCAGTTGAGAGACAAGGACGAGCCTTCATTACCAGCCAGGGAGGTCCAGGCTGGTTCACACTTACCTTACCCGGACAACAGTACAGACAGCTGAGACCAGGACGAGCCTTTGTTACCAGCCAGGGAGGTCCAGGCTGGTTCACACTTACCTCACCGGGACAACAGTACAGGCAGTTGAGACCAGGGCGAGCCTTCATTACCAGCCAGGGAGGTCCAAGCTGGTTCACACTTACCTCACCCGGACAACAGTACAGGCCGTGTGTCAATTTACCTGAAGTTTCTCAGGGTCCATGCATTCAGCCATGATTTCTTTCTTCATGTCCCCAAGAGTTTTAGGACCATCATTTTCTTTCTTTGAAAAGGTGTGCTGGCCTAGGAGATCTTCAAAAGCATTTGTTGACACCTTTGGTTTTGGTCCTAGAAAAAACAACACAAAGAGATTAAAGTGATCTTGTTGGACGGAAAGGCTGGGATAATGAGACTCGAAAAACAGCATAGAAATAAGTAATTCTTAGATAACAGTGCAAATGTATCAAAAAGCAGTTCTCTCACATTACAGAATTCATCTTTAAACTAAGAAGCCTTCACTGAAAAGCAAAACAATAAAAAAACAACCAGTTCTCAGGACAATACAGTTGGACAGGTGCTGTGCCTTCAAGTGTGTACTTCCTGTACTACCCTGGTGAATTTTAATCTTTGTAAAACAGAAAAAACATGCTTTCCTGTAGGATTGCTCTGATGATGTTGAAACCAAAAGAACAAATCTAATTGAAATAGTTTACCAGCGATGCCAACCGTAATTGAAGTTTTGGAGTAATGAGTTCAGCAAAAATGCGTAATTTCATGTGAAACAATGTTAACAATGTTTCGCTTCGATATCTAACCTTCACACATTCATAAATTCATCAAGTAGTACTAATTAACTGTTTTTCATGTGTTGTTTCGAGTTCTGAAGTAATATCATTGTACATTGTAGTTGATTGATAAAATGACTTGAATATGTTTGAACAAAACAACCAATCAGAGACCTTGTATCAGTGAGTGATGAATATTTTAAAACTGTGTGAATTGAAGGCATGGCTCGCTACAAAAGGCTTCATGTCACCAGTGCGTAAACAATTTGCTCTTGGTCATATTTTATGCATGGACATAATTGGTGAAAAAAAAGACAAAAAATCATCATATGGGGAAGGCCAAGCATAATAGTGTTCTTTTCACCAAAATCAAAATGGTTGGCATCTCTGGGTTACCTAAATTTTGTTGCCATACCAAAGCTTTTGCGAGTCCCACGGTCCTCTCTTCCACCAATGACACTGGCGCTGTAGTTAGGTTTAGCAAAAGGTTGCTGCTGCTGCTGCTGCTGCTGTTGTTGTTGTTGTTGTTGTTGTTGTTGTTGTTGTTGCTGTTGCTGCTGCTGCTGCTGCTGCTGATGCAATGGGGATGATCGGCCACTTTGCCAGTTCATTGAGCCTGTCATGATGGTCATTCAATAATTAAAGAGTTATCTCAGATTTAGTGCATAATAGGACATGAATATATTCTGAAAGGCAGTATTCAGGTAATAATCAGGTGATAACGACTGATACAAGACTTCTTATTACCAGGAGTCTTTTTAATATAAAAAATAATTATTCATTTTATGTCCATCAAAATTGTGTACTTATCCTGTCTCCGTCTATGCATCTCTCTTTTTTCTTCGACCCTTAGTGGAAAATGTGCTAAAACAAAGGTTTCCAGCTTCTAAAAAACAATAACCATGGTCACCTCCCATCAATGTGGGTCATGTACACACTGTATGCATCTTGACCTATACACACTAGCCACGCAATTTTCCAAGCCAACTCATTCTCTTGTTAAAGCCTTTTATGCTAAGGGAATTGTGATGTGGGGATGAAGCGGGTATAGAACATGTGAGAGATGATAAGAATATAAATATACAGTTTATTGTAATGTCTTTGATATCTTCAGGATTCAAGATAGACGTCAAAGGAGAAATAGTAAATAGCCCATCAGGTTGGCCGGGAAGTTGATTTTTTTAAGGCATGAATTTCGCTGACTCGAGCAGCCATGGCGAGAGCCAAGAGTAAAACCGTTTCAAACGTAATGCACTCAAAATCTTTCTCAGCCAATGGTTCATAATCCGCCAAAGTGAGATGGTGAAGTATGACGTTTAGATCCCATGTGGGGGGACGAAAAAAAGAGGACTGGACCGCCAACTTGCATGACCAAATCAAGGATGGGAAATCCACCACTAGGGAGACCTTTCGCTGGTCGAAGTCGCTACAACGAAGTTAGTGACAGCCAAGTATGTAGCTAAAGTGGAACCTTTAAGCTTATGGGATGACCGGAGATGGTGAAGATATTCAGCAATCTGTTGTGGAGAAGCAGGAGCGGGTGATGAAATGCCAAGCGTGTGACTATAGGCCTCAAAAGTCTTCCACTTGTTGTATAAGGACTTGGTTGACGAACTATGAGTTACTGAGATCAATTTGGCTACCCATCTAGAGTACCCTTTGGGATTTCTGTAAATGTGCCAAATAAGTTGAAGGGTGTCAAGCGACGGGTGAGCAGCTAAGAGTGAGGTTGCAGAAGTAGGTCATTCGTTAGAGGTAGACCGTAAAACCTTCTGTCTGCTAGTTGGAAGAGCAAAACTCACGACCAAAAATCAGTGTGAAGTGACTGGTGGACGCTATCTTCTGCATGACCCGAGATAGAACACCAGTAGGGGGAAAGGCGTAGGCGTGTAGACACTCCCACGATATTGCTAACGCGTTGTGATCCCAAGCCTGATGGCATGGGAGAAAAGAACCGTGATAGCGGATTGTTGAAACAGGTTGCAAAGAGATCGCAAACATTCGACAGGAGCAGCCACCATTGGAGATGTGGTTGTAGATGGTTTGACAGAGAGATTATGACAGTCGTCAGTCAAGAGAAATGGCTTCAGGAAACACTGAACTGGTCATAAGTGGATTTGACATCTCCTTGTGAGAGTCCGTGCTGATGTCAGGAGACCGAGGAGTTGTTACCATTGGCGCAGAGGAAGGGATTATATCTCAGTGCCAATGGAACAAGGCCGTGTATCTTCATTCATTGATCCTGGGGGATGAACATTAGGCATGTGTCGAAAAGAGCCCCGATAAATTGGAGTCGTTGGACAGGGATCATTTTGGATTTCTTCGTCTTGATAAGCCATCCGAGCTGATGAAGAAGATTCTGCATGAGATAACCACCTTCCATTGGTAATGGCGGCCGAGAAAAAGGAACCAAAGGAAATGTCGGTGCTCCTGAAGGATGGGGACGTGTACATATGCGTCCTGTAGATCTAAGCTGATCATGAAATTGCCGGGACCAAGAACTGTGCGTAACAGCGCGATGGATGTCATCTGGAAGTGAGGAGGTACTTCTAGATATTATTTGTTGAATATTTTCATGTTGAAAATGAGGTGTAGTTGAAGGCTATCCTTCTTTGGAACCAGAAAAATTGGGGAATAGAAGACTGGAGTGGTCAGGCATTCTCTACAGCGTCAGTGAGAATGGGAAGTTGTTTGACCGGATACTGGTGAGACGACAGCTCGTATGTTGTGGGTGGTGTCACAATGAGAATTAGTCGATACCTGTCCCGTAGTAGACGAAGAACAAAGGGATCGTCCAAGATAATCCAGTTTTCGGCGAAGCAGCGCAATCTTCCACCGACAGGTGATGGGACTATTGGCTGGGGGCGGAAGAGACCAGTCATGGATGTGGGCGGAGTCACTTTGAGATCGAGTCTTCCTTTAGGGATATTCGCCACCTTTGGACCCGGAAAAGGAAATGGTACGTGCAGCTGACTTCCCACCTTGATGGCCTCTTCCCCGGCCACAAAAGGAGTTGGACCTCGAGCTAATTACTTCATGAAGATCCAGTTAGTTGGGTGTAAAAGAAGGGCGCTTCCGTTCTCTTCTTTTTGGTCTGCTAGCTGGTTCCTTTGAAGACGCGAAAGATTGCCCACCTTGAATATGTCCTGCGAACAAGAAGGGTGTGAAGCATGGTAATTAGTAGAGTCGGTTCTTAAACGTCTCATCCCAAGAACAGTGTTGGAGGATCCCACGAAGTAGCAATGTCATGATGGATCTTGCATGATGAGATCTAAGATGCCCGACATCTTGTCTTGAATTAAATCAATTGCCCCATGAATGCAAGACCACTACGGTGAAGAGGCGTGGTCCATGACCAAGAGAGGAAAGTAGATCCTAAAGGCAACATACGACGAATCGAAGTGTCAAGATGAACTAGATTTCTGTCATCAATCGAAAAACAAGTAAAAGGATGCTTCAGTGCCAAAGAGGAGATATCTCTATCCAGTTTAGGAACAGGGGTCGTAATGCCTAGATACCATCTCTGCGAAGAAGGTCTGGGCAGAGGTGTAATGTACGGTGACATAGCTGAAGGGACAATGAAAGACAAGGCGTGACGATGTAGGAAGCTGTAAGGTCACCGAAGCCTGTTGCGCAGTAGTAACAGAAGTATGACGAACAGGAGAAGGCGATGGAGAACCCGGATGACGTGAGGGGACAGAAGTGTTACATGCATTAGGGGGATGGGTATCTGCTGACAGTCCCAGGGGAGCGAGGGTTTGAGAGAAGGTCGAACCTGTGTGGAATGGGAGCATGAGAGTCCCTGCGTGAGCGACGATGAGAGGAGGATCGAACCCCCGATTGGTGATCCTTAGATGAGTACTGTATGCAAGAGGTTCGACGAACCTTAGGAGACATATGGTCTGACGTAATATGCCGATCCTGTGAAGTGCCACGCTAATAAGATGTTCGCCAATCCCGAGAGGTTCACTGATCTTTTGATGTTTGTTGATCTTCTGAGGTTTGCCGAACATTACTGGAAGACTGAGTTTTGAAGCAATGCGATATTATTGCTGTGAACGTTTTTTTTAAATCTAGCCCCCACTTTAGAGATTAGGTCCACATTGTTTCCATGTAAAACAAGAAAAAGAAAAATATCAAAAATCCACAAATAGCAAAAGGCACCACTTCAGGATCTGTTTGATGTATCTGCCAAGTTGTGTTGAAAGATGTATTTAACTTTTTTTGAGTTTGAGTCCGAAAAATAAATACACCCCTTTAAAGGCTAAGTCCAAATTGTTTCTACAGAAATCGCGAAAAATATAAATGCCCCAAAACTGTAAATAACAAAAGGCACCACTTCAGGATCTGTTTGATATATTTCACCAAGTTTTGTTGAAAAATATTGAACAGTTTTCGAGTTACGCTCTGGCAACAAAATGAATATGGATGGACAGACGGACGGGGCGTCGACTATATCCCCCTGCATTATATGCCGGGGAGGATAAAAAGTCTTAATCTGTGTAGCACCGTGGCGATTAGAAAGAGAATGAGTTGGCTGGGGAAATTACGTAGCAAACGTGTACAGGTCAACATGTATACAGTGTGTGTGACCCAGATTGTTGGGAGGTGACCATGGTGATGCGAGGGGTGTTCGGACAAACTGTTTTTTTAGAAGCTGGAAACCTTTGTTTTAGCACATTTTCCACTAAGGATCAAAGAAGAATGAGAGATGGGATAAGTTTAAAAATTTATTTAACATGTTCAAGGTCAAGTGCAGTACAAATATTCTATTTTGTCATAAATACAAATGGGTCACAAATGACATTTATAATCATACTCCTTACATGCAAAGGTAATGTGACAACCTGATCCTACACGATTGAAGGGCTGAATATGGCCTACATTGGACCCATACGATGGCTGATTCAAAACCGCTGGCTTGCTAACATTGTATGGTCACTGGAAACCATGTTGTAATACTGGTCATAGCCAACCAGTCCTTCAATCCGCAATCAATGATTAGACAGGATTAGCAAATTATGTGTAAAGATAATAAAACAAGAGTCATCAGAAGATGACAAATTCCCCCAGCCCCATACAGTCGAAAGAACAAATCAAGTAACTGTCAGTCCAACTGCATGAGAGAATTTCTATCTGTTCTGTCTGTCCGTATACAAGAGTAGTTATTGAGCTATCAAAACAATAAATTGGAATTGTCAAAATCAAACTTGTTGTCATGGAAACAGAAAAGAATTTAAATTAAAAAAATCCTTGATTAGCAAAAGGCCCCAGTTGACAACCTGGTTTTGGTGTGAGGAAAGTGTCATGAAATCCGTTAAGGGCAAAAAGGCACCACTTCAGGATTTGTTTGATATATTATATGCTGGGGGGTAAAAATATTAGAAAGATGATAATGAGACCTGGTGGCAGGCTAGAGTTACCTGGACCTCCGAATGCTGGCACTCCCTGCTGTTGGCCTGGCTGCTGTCTGGAGGGCATACTTCCCATTGGCTGCTGGCTCTTGAAATTGCCATGACTACTGCTACCTTTCATGCCAGACAACTTTCCTATAAGGATGCAAAGACTTGGGTATCAAGTGCATGAGGACTGGCTCTCAAAGACAGCCTATCAAATTTGGCCTGTGGCAGTGTCAACATGCACATATGTTGTTGTTTTCACCCACAAAACTTGAAAGCTTCATCATATAAACATCATGATAACATATTAACTGCTTTTATTATTCCCATACTCTTCTCTACCAGAAGTGAAAATCTAGACTGGTCATTTGACCTTTGGCCTACTTAATTACTGCTGGTTATGGAACATTACCTGTCTTATATGAAGGACTATCCATCAAAGAAAATTGGTCAAAATCAACTATTTGTGCCAATATTATCTTTCTGAAACCAAAACTGGATTGCAGGACGGACATGACATGTACATAGGTTTTACTGGTCTATGGCCATTTAGCAAATGATACTGAAGTTAATGTCTATTTCTATAAATGTTGTTTGATCAACCATTGAGGAACCTGTCCAGAAGGCCTTTAGCCTGATAATAATTCTCCTTGAATGTCTCACTTCTAACATGTCTGGTGTAGGCATTGTTTAAAAAAGGTTATACTAGAAAATATTGATATTGCCATACCACATTGCAAATTCCTTCTTCACCTCCGTCACAAACACACATCCTAAAACATGTCTTTCCCACATCCTGGATGCCCCTTGCTCATGCTCACCAATTGAGAGTTACGAGGGGTGTTCATTAAAGATTTCCACTAAGCCACTTAGGGTTATCATATTTGGTTGAAATTTCACATGTGTAATGATACATGTATCTATGGGTTATGGTATGATCGAGTAGGGTGTGACAATGGAGCCAGTAGAATACCGAGCAGTGATTAGGTTTTTATATTTGAAAGGTCGCACACCAAAAGAAACTTGTCCAACCCTCTGCAGGCAAGGTCATGCTCACGGTGTTTTGGGACCAGCACGGAGTAGTGATGGTGGATTTCTTGGCAAAGGGTACCACAATTACAGGAGCTTATTATGCTTCACTGCTGCGGAAATTGTGGGACGCTTTCAAGCTTAAGAGGCGTGGCATGCTGACCAAGGGTGTCCGTCTCCTGCAAGACAATGCTCCAGTACACAGCTCTCATGTTGCCCAGACAGAAGCGCGGTCCTGTGGCTATGAAATCCTTCCACATCCTCCTTACTCTCCTGACCTTGCACCATCTGACTTCCACCTCTTTCCAACCATGAAGTCATAATTGAAGGGAAAACGTTTCACAGATGATGAAACACTGATTTCTGAAGTCAAGTCCTGGTTTGAGACGCAAAATGAGGGCTTTTACAAGCAAGGTCTCCATAGTTGCATAAAACGATGGGAGAAGTGTGTAACTCTTGGTGGTTCCTACGTGGAGAAAGACTAATACCTATGCCAAGTTTCATTCCACTAGGTCCATCGGAAGTGGGTCAGGGGAAATCTTTAATGAACAGCCCTCGTATCTGTCCTTGATCTCTCATGTCCTTCTGATCAGCACTCTGTTTAATAACTAGGCAGGGGAAAGACGGGCGGGCGGGCAGGCTTGAGACTTGTTGTCAGAACAAGTATACTAATATCATGAATATCCAAATTCACGTCAATTATTTCTCATCCGGACAGCACATTACAATGTTTATCCCCCTGTTCAAGTTGTAGCGAATAGCAACAAGAGCCCAACAATCCCTCAGAACATTTATTGACATTTTGAGATTCAAGGGAAATATCTAGCAAACACTGAACAGCAGGTGAAATTTCTTTTTGTTATGATGCCCGGAGGATCGGAACTTCAAGTTGTAGCAAATAACAAGATCCAAGCAATGTGTGAGAATATATTATTTTTGTGACACTTTGTAATACATCAGACTTCTGTTGTGACATCCTTGCTCGCCCAAAGAAATGCAGTCTAAGAAAAAGCACCTCTTCAGCTCTCAATACGTGATGCCTGGAGGATCGGAACTTCAGACCCAACCATACCTCAGAACGTTTAATGTGATGCTATGACTATGACTATGTGACTCAAGGGAAATATCTGGTAAACCTACAGCGGTGTCGTCAATGGAAGCTGCTGACAATGTGATACCCAGTCTTTAATCAACAACACTCCATCGACAATATTTCTATACCAGTCAGTGACTGCAGACCCCAAATGTCCAGTAATGGGAACAAGTCACTTATTATAACATAAGCTGTTGCCTAGGAGTTGTTGAAAGATCTTTGTGTCTACTCTCTGAATGTTAATCACAGTAGACGCCTCCGCAGGTCACTGACACCACTGGAATATTGTACAGGAATCACTGGTGTCAAAACTGACAAAAGTAAAGTTGTCGAGAGAGCATATCCTCAGCTTTTAGGAGTCATACAAGTTGGAAGTACAACAGGCGCTGAAGACTCCTAACCTACTACCTTGCCAGTGGAGCAGCCATCCACTGTGGGCTGACCTCAGGAACCTGGTTGTAAAGCCCATTGTAGAGGTGGATGCAGCAACCCATATGGATGCAGTTGATTTTGATGAAACGCCAGCTCTCATACTAGCGCCTGTGGCCTGTAAAGGGTTAAACTGTGCTCCGTCCCCAGGGAAAAAGCCAACCCCAAGCAGAGCGCTTGTCATTGACAAAGTCTTTGCTGCACTCCATGCCCAGGAAAGCACATGTGTATCTTTGCATGATAAAAAGGAAAGTGAGAGGTTAAGGACTGAGATAAGTCCAGATTGGTGGTCAAGGCCGGAAGTAGAAAAGGCAGGTTTGGGGTTCTGAGTTGTACCATCGAAGTGAAAAAGACAAGACAAGAAATATTTTTTATTATGTCACAGTTTTAGATAGATAGACTTTATTTTTACTAAATCTGGAGACAAAGAGTTCTCTGTTTGAAAGTTATACTGCATTGGCGATGTGTTCTGCCAAACCAGAAGAAAAGTTATTTAATCGTGAGTGCTCATAACTTTATATCCCACTGCATATACTTTCTGAATGAAACTGTTTCAAGTCAGTGAGGGAATGACCTTCAAAGTTACGATGACATTTGCCACAACCATCACATATGCCAGGTAATGAGTTAATTGTTGAGAGTCTACCATGGATAATATGATAAGAAAATGCTTAGATGTATCATGAATCAATCTAAAATTTCTGGAAATTGGAACAATGTTTCATAATTTGACCGCCAGTGACTCCTTATACAATGGTCACCCAAAAGTTGATACAAACATGACCCCGCCTTAGACATCAAGCATAATTTGTTCATCAAATTCCATTCATAAATACCATGCAGTGACACCTCGTTCATACTTGGCGATCTTGACCTTACACAATCGCAATCATACGTCAGACAAATTCCCCAGGGGCAGCAGCGGAACACAAATTCAGGTAAACCCATTAAGCTGCCCCCATTACAAGGTGCTGCTTCATTAAGAACAAGTTGTACATAACATGACTCACCTAAGTCTGCAAATGGATCTGCCTTTGGCACTGGTCCGATGCCTCCACCCTGAGATGCAGACATTGGGGCACTCATTCCAGCTTGCTGTGGGAAGGAAGAGCTGTGGCTCTTAGACATACCAATGCCTATTCCACCAGCATTGGCAGGTTTGGGAATATTGCTGTTACTGCCACCACTTTGGAGAATGTTGCTGGCATCCCAGTTACCCATTAAATCATCAGGACCTCCTACTGTTTGGTTTTGATTTTCCATAAATGAGACAAAATCATCTGAACCCGCACCGCTGCCTCCATTCTCTACAGTTGGGGCACAACTTTGGAAAGGGTCAAAGCTTCCAAAAGCATCTGTTTTACCAGAACCCTTAGCAGCATTGGTTTGACTTGCAGGTTTCTGACGGGATGCCATTTCTTGGAAGGGATCAAAGGTGTCCCCAAACTGAACATTAGACGACTGGGCATTGGAGGCATCCGCTTCCACAGAGCCACCAAGTAAGTCAAAGTTAGAGGGTTCACTACCCATATTCAGTAAGTCCATCTGGTCAGTCACAGGATCATTTTGTTGAGCACCTGTACTCTTCATGTTCAGCAAATCTTGAGTAGCATCACTTGATGCAGGTGCACTGAAGTCACTAAAAAAGTCTGCATCCTGGGATCGAGGAGCCTGCACACCGATATCACTACCATTACTGCTATGAGTTCCTGCCCGGTCCCGAGACAGAGACACAAAGTCATCATCTTCATTATCACTAGCATCTAGTAGCCGGACTTCTATTTCTGTGGGTTGGTGGGGTTCTACTACTTCCCCTGATTCCGTTGGTGCGCCACTGTCCCATTCAAGTGTTGCGAAGAAGTTGGACCGACTCTTCGGCTCACTGGCCTGTTTGCGAGCAGTCTCGGGTGTTGATGCAGGTTTCTTGCTAGGTGTTGATGGTTGATGAAGAGGACTGTCTGATGGACTCTCAGAATTCAAGCTAGATGTTCGACTTAAACGAGATTTGGCTCTTTCTGAAGCACCTGTTATGGAGACAAGGCAGGGACTAAAATAAATGGTCTTGTGTATTTCAAACACTATCATGTCAAATAGTTTAGTGACCTGCATAAAATACAGCCACTACTGACAGTAAAAGAAGACTGGTTGTTGTTGGCAATGATCTGATTGAAACTTGCTAATACGGCAATTTTGCCCCAAGCTAGCATCTCACCGAAAAGGTACTTGACTATTTCACAACTATATGAAGCATTTATATATACACCTAGATTACTATTTATGAAGTAGAGGTTATCACTGTAATGTCTGGAAAAACTCTTACCAAATTCTGATAATGCCTGATGCAATTCATCCTTCCCAGAAAACAGAATTCTCGGGGTGAGTTTTTCTGTACTGAATTTGAACCAAGGATACTGCTTTTCTGCCTGTGGTCGATCATTTGGTGATACTGCAAGCTCCACCGAGACAGAGAACAGGTCAGGGTACTTGTCTGGGGTGTCCATCTGGTCAAGCTCATACCTTAACAAAGAGCACACCATACTCACACCACACACAAAACCACAGCCATCATATATGTTTGTCTGAATCAAGAAACTGACCGTGTTCATCTCCTCATTATCAAAACTACTGCTTATGTGGATGTGCAACAATCATGACAAAATATCTTCATGATTTGAATCAACCATCTAAACCCATAGCCTGTCCAGTATGACTGTGAAACGCTATTACTCAGACACACCATATCAGCTTGACTTACTGTGACAGCTTCAGGTGAGGTGAGTCGAAATGGGGTCTAACATCGCGGTCCAAGATTATTGCACTTATATTGCGACGTGCATGCATGTATGTGTGGCTGCCTTTACTAGTCCAGACTAATGCCGATATTATGGTGCTTGCCCACTGACATACCATGCCGCAGTTTAACATGAATACCCCATTCAGACAAATTATACTGACTCAGAGACAACCAGTCCTTGCTTTACCTCTTCAATGAGTAGCGCCAGACAGGGTAACAACAAAAAACATCTTTAAACATCTTTTGGTATGACGCAGCCAGGGATCAAATCCTTCTGCTCCTCGGGCAAATGTTCTAACATTAGAAGTAGGAGGCAGCCTGTGACAGCTTGAGGTAGTGACACACTGACAGCTTGAGGTAGTGACACACTGACAGCTTGAGGTAGTGACACACTGACAGCTTGAGGTAGTGACACACTGACAGCTTGAGATAGTGACACACTGACAGCTTGAGGTAGTGACACACTGACAGCTTGAGATAGTGACACACTGACAGCTTGAGGTAGTGACACACTGACAGCTTGAGGTAGTGACACACTGACAGCTTGAGATAGTGACACACTGACAGCTTGAGGTAGTGACACACTGACAGCTTGAGGTAGTGACACACTGACAGCTTGAGATAGTGACACACTGACAGCTTGAGGTAGTGACACACTGACAGCTTGAGATAGTGACACACTGACAGCTTGAGGTAGTGACACACTGACAGCTTGAGGTAGTGACACACTGACAGCTTGAGATAGTGACACACTGACAGCTTGAGATAGTGACACACTGACAGCTTGAGATAGTGACACACTGACAGCTTGAGGTAGTGACACACTGACAGCTTGAGGTAGTGACACACTGACAGCTTGAGATAGTGACACACTGTGACTTACTGTGACAGCTTGAATGTTTTGGTGCCTGGAGCAATGAAACCAGAGTGGAACTGTAGTTGAAGTATCTTCATGGAGGTTATCTAAACATAATTAGTTAAATGTTGTCAGTATACAGTTACAAGGAGATACAGGTTATCCTCACAGAACATCACCACTTACACAAAAGTGCCACAGTACTGTAGATCACCTCGACATGTCAGCAACAGTTTTAATTTCAAGAGACAGCCCTTTGCTGTTATCAAGCAACTTAAATATTTCTGCATAAATACTCAGGACAAAAGTATTAATTAACAAATATGAAACTATCCACAATGTTTCTATATGTGCAAGAATGAAAGTGCTACTGTAAAACATTGTTGATTTACAAAACATTTATACACAATTTATACACAAAGTTTCAACACTGAATAATGTATCTAATGCCATAGAATGTTCCAATTACGCAAAAGACACAATAAAATCCTTATGATTTGAACAAAATATCATGTCCTCATAGGGATAACTATAAATGTTTAAGTTCTGCATCCTATAAATACAGTACATTTTGAAATAAAATGGTTGAGCGGTGTCTGATTAACTGTTGTGGTTGCAATATTGAAAATCAGATTCAAACCTCTTGACTAATTCTGATGTCATCAGCGGTGGGAAAAGGCTTGTGAAGTTTCAACTTCATTGGTTCAGTGGTATCGGAGAAGATGATATTAACAGTGTGAAGAAATATGTGTTGAGAGAATTTAGGAGCATGATCAATGTGCAAAGGTCAAGTGAAGGTCAAAATGTAACATATAGCTAAAAACGGAACATACGCCTTGAGCCTCACTACCAATTACACATATACCGTAAACTTCGTTTATAATATAACATAACAAACTTATTTTTTTTGTCCCGACTAGTTATTCTGTATTTATGCTTATAACGAACTACAGTTACAATGAACTAAAATGAATGGTCCCTTTTGAGTTGGTTATAACCATAGTTTACTGTACAAGATTTTATGACATGTCGAAGCAACTAACAGGATCGGGTGGTCAATGCTTGCTGACTTGGTTGATGCATGTCATGATATCCCAATTGCGTGGATCGATGCTCGTGATGTCAATCACTTGATTATCTGGTCCAGACTCGATTATTTACAGACCACCGTCATATAACTGGAATATTGCTGAGTGCGGCGTTAAACAATAAACAAATCAAAGACATGTTGAAACAAAACAACATAACAAGTTTCAGCTTTCAAATGGTTGAAGTGCAAAGGTCAAAGCAAGGTAAAATGTTTTATAAAGGCAAGAAACAGAACATGTAACGCCAGACATAAAACCCACGACATACGCTCACTTGACTTTCAAGTGAGTGAGTGAGTAAGTTTGGTTTTACGCCGCTTTTAGCAATATTCCAGCAATATCACGGCAGGGGACACCAGAAAAGGGCTTCACACATTGTACCCATGTCAGGAATCGAACCCGGGTCTTCGGCATGACGAGCGAACACTTTAACCACTAGGCTACCCGACCACCCCTCTTGTAAGCTAAAGAATGACTTGATCTGCTGACATTACAAAGACAATCGCAAGTGACAACATTGTGATCATGTTTAGGGCAATGTAAAGTTACCTTTCCCTGGATCTTGCCTCCAAATGTTGACCTGGCATGGTAGACGACAACAGTCACATCTCCTGTACAGGATGCATTAAGGGGAACCCGACATGCTCCATCCTCAGTGGTGAACTGTCTGCAAAGGAAACACCACTATTACACCCTGGAGGTGGTCAATTGTCACTGTGTGAATCGGGAGTGGATAGATGATAATCAGGGATGGATCAGATCAACCAGTGTGTGATAACATGAGCACTGACTGAGGGGACCACATACATAATCAGCCTGGTACAGATTTACCTTCCAAGACCTATCCATATTTGTAATGCATGTTCATATATTTGCCATTCGACGCCCTAGTGTATGCTCAAGGCACTACAGTGTAAACATATGAACAAGTATATACTTCATGTATAGGAGGGATAATGGACAACAACAGGTGTTTCCGGAAGCATAAAAATGAAACAGATGTGTTTAAAGTACGTATTTGAAAGTGTCCGTATTGTCAGTTTTCTTTATGCTGTATGGAAGATCATTCCATTAGACAGGAGCTGTGCAGGAGAATGATCGTAGGCCAAAGGACTTCAGTGGTACACTCACGTGATGTTGATGATTGGAACGTTAGTCACCATAGGGATGGAGAAGTTCAAACATATATGAGGGTGCCAGTCCATGAAGAGCTTTATATGTCAAACAAAGAATCTTAGTGACCTGCATAAACTACAGTTTGTATTTTGTATGTTATGACTTATGCTGCTGACGTTCAGCTCTGTTCAGCTGGTAGATCTGCTCATGTACCTCTAGGCTAGACCTATGCTGCTGACGTTCAGCTCTGTGCAGCTGGTAGATCTGCTCATGTACCTCTAGGCTAGACCTATGCTGCTGACGTTCAGCTCTGTGCAGCTGGTAGATCTGCTCATGTACCTCTAGGCTAGACTTATGCTGCTGACGTTCAGATCTGTGCAGCTGATGTTTACATTTGTGTAGAGCATCATTATACTTTGGCATGGTTGTTAACTGCAGAATAATTAAGTTGATCAAATCTGATCTAAAATTACCTGTTCGATTCCGTTTGATGTTCCTGCCTACCAGGACCGATTGCTTATTGTTTGGTTTATCCAAGCTGATTGTGAATGACTATACAGTCACTGCATGACATAACACAGTGACTGGACACGTTTGTCATCCACAGATACAGCATCATGACACCACAGTCACTGTATGACATAACACAGTGACCGGACACGTTTGTCATCCACAGATACAGCATTATGACACCAATGTCATGGTATGATACAACACAGTGACCGGACACGTTTGTCATCCACAGATACAGCATTATGACACCAATGTCACTGTATGATATAACACAGTCACCGGACATGTTTGTCATCCACAGATACAGCATTATGACACCAATGTCACTGTATGATATAACACAGTGACCGGACACGTTTGTCATCCACAGATACAGCATCTTGACACCAATGTCATGGTATGATATAACACAGTGACCGGACATGTTTGTCATCCACAGATACAGCATTATGACACCAATGTCACTGTATGATATAACACAGTGACCGGACATGTTTGTCATCCACAGATACAGCATTATGACAATGTCACTGTATGATACAACACAGTGACCGGACACGTTTGTCATCCACAGATACAGCATTATGACACCAATGTCACTGTATGATATAACACAGTGACCGGACACGTTTGTCATCCACAGATACAGCATCTTGACACCAATGTCATGGTATGATATAACACAGTGACCGGACACGTTTGTCATCCACAGATACAGCATCTTGACACCAATGTCATGGTATGATATAACACAGTGACCGGACATGTTTGTCATCCACAGATACAGCATTATGACACCAATGTCACTGTATGATATAACACAGTGACCGGACACATTTGTCATCCACAGATACAGCATTATGACACCAATGTCATGGTATGATACAACACAGTGACCGGACACGTTTGTCATCCACAGATACAGCATCTTGACACCAATGTCATGGTATGATATAACACAGTGACCGGACATGTTTGTCATCTACAGATACAGCATTATGACACCAATGTCACTGTATGATATAACACAGTCACCGGACATGTTTGTCATCCACAGATACAGCATTATGACACCAATGTCACTGTATGATATAACACAGTGACCGGACACATTTGTCATCCACAGATACAGCATTATGACACCAATGTCACTGTATGATATAACACAGTGACCGGACATGTTTGTCATCCACAGATACAGCATTATGACACCAATGTCACTGTATGATATAACACAGTGACCGGACATGTTTGTCATCCACAGATACAGCATTATGACACCAATGTCACTGTATGATATAACACAGTGACCGGACACGTTTGTCATCCACAGATACAGCATTATGACACAAATGTCACTGCATGACATAACACAGTGACCGGACATGTTTGTCATCCACAGATACAGCATCATGACACCAATGTCACTGTATGATATAACACAGTGACCGGACACGTTTGTCATCCACAGATACAGCATTATGACACAAATGTCATGGTATGATATAACACAGTGACCGGACACGTTTGTCATCCACAGATACAGCATTATGACACCAATGTCATGGTATGATATAACACAGTGACCGGACACGTTTGTCATCCACAGATACAGCATTATGACACCAATGTCACTGTATGATATAACACAGTGACCGGACACGTTTGTCATCCACAGATACAGCATCATGACACCAATGTCACTGTATGATACAACACAGTCACCGGACATGTTTGTCATCCACAGATACAGCATTATGACACCAATGTCACTGTATGATATAACACAGTGACCGGACACGTTTGTCATCCACAGATACAGCATTATGACAATGTCACTGTATGATACAACACAGTGACCGGACACGTTTGTCATCCACAGATACAGCATTATGACACCAATGTCACGGTATGATACAACACAGTGACCGGACATGTTTGTCATCCACAGATACAGCATTATGACAATGTCACGGTATGATACAACACAGTGACCGGACACGTTTGTCATCCACAGATACAGCATTATGACACCAATGTCATGGTATGATATAACACAGTGACCGGACACGTTTGTCATCCACAGATACAGCATTATGACACAAATGTCATGGTATGATATAACACAGTGACCGGACACGTTTGTCATCCACAGATACAGCATTATGACACCAATGTCACTGTATGATATAACACAGTCACCGGACACGTTTGTCATCCACAGATACAGCATTATGACACCAATGTCACTGTATGATATAACACAGTGACCGGACACGTTTGTCATCTACAGATACAGCATTATGACACCAATGTCACTGTATGATATAACACAGTGACCGGACACGTTTGTCATCCACAGATACAGCATTATGACAATGTCACTGTATGATATAACACAGTGACCGGACACGTTTGTCATCCACAGATACAGCATTATGACACCAATGTCACTGTATGATATAACACAGTGACCGGACACGTTTGTCATCTACAGATACAGCATTATGACACCAATGTCACTGTATGATATAACACAGTGACCGGACACGTTTGTCATCCACAGATACAGCATTATGACAATGTCACTGTATGATACAACACAGTGACCGGACATGTTTGTACGAGTCATGCAGAGTTCAGGAATGAGTGTGACAGACGACATTAAAATTACCAAGAAACAAGTACAGCTTTTAATGTGCGAGGCAAACAAGGCTGATAATTCATGGGCAACGACACTGTTAGGGAGGATATATTTTGTGAACATAATGTCCTAACAATCTCTATCCAACTTGCAATTGTGAGAAACACACTGCCTTAGATCCCGACACAAACTCATAAGCTACCACTGGACTGCACTCATGATACAAAATGCTGATGGTGCTGAAGCAACACAACTGGTAAAACATACCTCATACGCTCATACTCCAGGGAAGTGGTCAACACACGGTCATCTCCAACATACACCTCCACAAACGGTGTGCAGCCATTCCTTCAACAAATAGGAGAATGAATTATTTTTTAAAAAAATTCTCCTACATGATATAAGGGAAGACAGCAAGTTAGGGACCGAACATTTAATTTAAATTGTCCCAAGGGAAATTCTTGAAAAAAATAATTTTGCTTCAGGCTGTCGGGGAAAAAAAAGCAAGAAATTGTCTCCCATACAAATTACATTGTTGCAAAATGTTTTTCTTTAAAAAATATTCAGGCTCAAAGTTTTAATTTAAACAATATCTGGTTTTGCGGTAGCTGAAAAAATATCTTATCTAAACACAAAATCCCAGGGATCCCACTACAATATCAAACGGTCACTCCCTTAGTAAGGACTACAAGGATGCCTCACTGTGACGCCAGTTGGGCTTCCTATCAAATAGAATATGATGACACCTGATGTACCACACCCATTACTGGAAACCTCATTTTTTTCTACAAATGCCCAACAGACCAAGTATCCAATAAGTAGAAGTAATAAAACGGTCCCCCTCCCCCTAAGTACAATACAGTGCTGATAGTGTGGGGTACTGCACTGGGTGAAGAGCCTTACTTCATCTTGTTGAAAAGAGGCACCGGTGACATGACCAGCTGGGACAGCATCACTGGCCGGCTGTGGGGCTTCACTTCTTCGTCAGACACCATCTCACTCATGTAGTTAATGTACCTGCACATACAGTCAGTCCAGTTAGCAGCAATAAGGGGGAGGAGCAACAAGTTAGGACTCTATGAATCACATGATGACAACTATCACTATCTATTTCTCTTCTCTTATATCCTGAACAAAGGATGCCAAGTTCCCATTTCCTAACCTTTTCTGAGATGGTGAGACGCCCGGGGCCAGCCTGCGGGCAGTGAACATATGCAGAGCTGTCTCTGCACTGTCGAACAGGCGACAGAACACCAGCAATGCTCCAATGACTGTGGCTGACTGGGCCTTGCCGTCCAGACAGTGGACAACACAGATGTTCTTGGGGTTCTGCCGTAGCCACAGGTGCATGTTCTTGCATATGGCAAACAGGTTAGCTAGTGTTGGAGCCTTCTTCTGAGCCCAGCCACATTCAGACACCTGCAAGGAACCACACACATCAATTCTGTGCCTGAATGTGACATCTGTCAATCACCATGCCAATTTCCATTTCTTGCAGAAGACCAACACACAAGAAAGGGGAAAATCCAAATGACTAGATGTGGATGTCTCAAACTGATTTCAATGCCATAGTTTTATGGAAACTGAAAGATATGTTAATCTGAATTTCCAATTTTGAAATATCAATCTTATCATGTTTATGAAAGTTCAAAATCTTTTAACAATGTTCAGTCCCATTAATTACAAAAATGTCAAGGTATTTTCAACATTGAAACATTGCCAACAAATGTTGTTTGCCCTTTAATTCAAGGATCCTGCAGATACATTCCAAGGTATATGCGCATCGCGCGCATATAAACTTGCAGCACTGAGATGAATCTCATGGCCTTACCCTATTTTCAAACTTGGCCACTCTGTAGGATCTTTGTGACAGGTTATAGACAGCATAGGAGTTGTGGTGCCGGTTCTCTAGGAAGGCCCGCACATCATCAATGTGGTTCTTGATGGCAGACTCCATGCCTTCTGCTGGATACGACATGACTGCAGAGTACAAGTCATATGTGAGGCAGTACTAGCAGTATATTGTACAATGATCACTGTTGTTTTTAATGTCACTCTTTATCAAGATTTTGAGATAACGCTTTTGGTGAAGCTTGGTGATTGGAGAAAACGAAATCACTTTTCACTTTTGAATAAAATCATAATTTTTACAGGGATTGTCATGGTCACTAGCCCTTTTTGCTGAACAAATCAAGTTATTTTACATAAACCACAAGTCCAAAATATGCTGTGGACTGGTTGGATACAACCAATGATGTCACAACTCCCACAGCTGGAATACTTTCCTTTTTCTTCTTCCAACATTTGTTATGTGGACCTTTCCACTGACATACACTTCCTGTTGCTAATCTCATATCTTGGCATCTAATGGCATGTGTCATTCTTCATCAGTTGATATATGTTAATTTATATGGGTGTACAGATTTAAATGAATTATAGATGCATCTCAATTAATTGTCCATGATCCGATGGGAAAACCTTGATGACAAGTTTTAATAAAGATAGTTAATATCAAAGCTGTGCTACACTATTGATTATATCGATAAATGCAACAAAATGAAGAATAATTGTACATACATTGCAATAGTATCCTAACAGTACTGTAACTAACACAATACTATTGAAATAGTAAGAATGACCTCATAGAGGCCCCTAACTACACATTCACGCAATAAAAAATCTAAACTTGTAAAATCTAGATGCTTTATAAATTTGTATACTTTGTATACTATTTGTATACCCTGCATTACTCCTTTACATATTTAAGTAGAGGAGAATGTCCAAGTAACTCTGTGGGGCCTCTGCTCCATTATTTTTAAGGAATGGAGAGTTTAGAGTATATTCCCCTACTTAAAACTCATGCCTACTTTTACACTTTGACAAAATATTCTGTTGTGGAAAATATTTGAAAAATAAACCAGAGCTCTTTGTTGTCTGTATTTCATGCACGAGGAATGCATTTTCTGCCACTGTTGCACATGCACCAAGCTCCGTCGCGAGCTGACATTTACAATGCAAGGTACGCGGCTCTTCATAATTTTGTTATGTCCTAAACTAGTATTTATCAATCGCTTGCACAATGTTAATACATGCTGATGAGAATAATAAGAAATATAGAGCCCCAAACAAGGACATATATATATTACCTGATTTGTTTTTACTTGTCAAAGGTTTATCTAATTGCTATAAATATGAACATCGTTGTAGTCAACCTGCCCTAAGACAAATTATATACATATTATTTTGAGCTTTTAAGCATTAAGCAAAATTATAAAAATATTTAATTTCACACCATACATTCATGTGCCGCTGTAGCTGAGGTTGACAATTACACGTTCTGAAGTCAAACAATGCGGGTTCGAACCCCGCTGGCAACACATGTTTTCAGAAAAAAAGTGAAATTATTTACTTGTCAATAAATGTAAAAAATAGTTCCATCTATTCCAAGTGGAAATTAATTCAAATCTTGGTTCAAGATAATGTATAGTTGACAAATAACTCTCCATTCCTGAAGAAAAATGGAGTATTCAAACAATAGAATGACGTCACAGATGTGTTTTAATGCTTGTTCTTGACAGAGCAATGTGAGGTCTTGTTGAAGAAGAAGTTGTTCCAACTGATTGAGTGCCTAACCCTAATACACAGCTCCCACGTGACCATGGAAGGGGTGACGTCACTGATCAGCACATTACTGCTAAAAACAGAGCATCTTGGGGAGGCAGTTCTGGGAGTAGGTGGTGTTGATTTCTGTGCCACCTGTCCCTGGGTACAGAGAGGAGGTCTCGGTTGGTCTGGAGGTTGAACGAAGATGTAGTTGATGATCCACCCCAGCTGATGGAGGAGGTGTTGTGTGAAATCCCTTAGGCGGATGAGCATGGCCATGTCCTGGTGGTCCAGAAGGCAGTCGTTGATGTGTGCCTCGAACTGGACATTCCTCAGATGGAGGTAGGTGGCTATCGGCTTGGTGATGCGTGTAGACAGCCATGGGGCTGAGAGAATTCCAAATGGGAGAACCGACCATTGATAATGGATTCCATTGAAGGTGAAACAGAGGAATTTCCTGTCACTGGGATGGATCGGCACATGCAGGTAGGCGTCATGGATGTCTAGGCTGATCAATGAGTCATTGGCCTGGATCTTGGACCTGAGCAGCCTTAGTGTAGAAATACAGCAGTCACTCCAAGTAGCGCTAGTTGAATATGGCCAGGTTGTGGATCATTCTGAGTTGATCCAAGTCCTGCTTGAGGACAAGGAATATTGGTGAATAGAAGCCTGGTGTCATGGCTGGGGAGTGGACAATCTCCATGGCTTCTTTGCGGGATGGCGTCTGCTATGAGTGACGACGTCAGAGGCGGGGCAACTCTCGTATGAGTTGATACCCTTGGTCCAGGAAGTTGAATACATATGGGTCCCCGAGGATGTTCCAATTCTGCCAGCAGAGTGTTATTCTCCCACCTACAGGAGTCTCGATGACTGGAATGACTTGGGGTGGGAGTTCCCAATTGTTGGGGTCAATAATAGCTGCACTTTGCCTTGCGGTCTTTGCTCCCTCCATGGGAACGGTCACAGTGTGGCTGGTAGGTTCCGGATGATTTTCCCTTGCCACAGCTCCTGCCATGAAAGGCTAGGGTGCCGCTTCAGGGAGTTACATTGGGGCAGATAGTTGCCAGATCGTGACGGCTTGAAGAATGTGGGGTCAGCGCAGGGCCTTAAGAACTGTTTCATCTCTGGCGAGGTTTGAGACACGGGAGTGGGTGGGGGAGCCATTGAAGAGGGAGGTGGAAGAACAGTGTTGACGCAAAAGATCCCTCGTGTCCCACTCGGTGAGTGCCAGGTAGCCAAGTTGTCGGGTAGTGGTTAGCTCAACCAATGCTGCACGCATGTGATCAATTTAGCGCTTTTGGTAGGACATGACAGTGATGAGATGACAGTGGTCGCGAGTGTGAGTGTTGTCTGCTTTGTCCAAGTCGTGGATCGGGAAATCGTCTTTCCCGATGCTTGGGTGCCTTGAAGAAGGAGTAAGTGACAACTGAGCGAAATCCTCATCTAATGCAGTGATCATATCTTTGATCATCCAATCGGGAGGAATGGATGTGGGATGAGTCCTTTTTATCCATGTCAGGTCCTTCAGATGGAGCGACGGCAGCAAGGCAATCTGCTAACCAATCATGTCCAAATACCATAGGCGCTTGAAGCGCCGGTGCCGTAACATGGCTGGTACGTCTGAGAGAGGGACGATCTCAGGAGCCAGAAGAAAGGAAGACATCGGCGGTGGACGTAATCCCCGACGAAAGACATGTGTAGTGTTGTGGTCTCCGGAAGGCTTCCGCCTGTGGAAGACATCGGCGGTGGACGTAATCCCCGACGAAAGACATGTGTAGTGTTGTGGTCTCCGGAAGGCTTCCGCCTGTGGAAGACATCGGCGGTGGACGTAATCCCCGAGGAAAGACATGTGTAGTGTTGTGGTCTCCGGAAGGCTTCCGCCTGTGGAAGACATCGGCGGTGGACGTAATCCCCGAGGAAAGACATGTGTAGTGTTGTGGTCTCCGGAAGGCTTCCGCCTGTGGAAGACATCGGCGGTGGACGTAATCCCCGACGAAAGACATGTGTAGTGTTGTGGTCTCCGGAAGGCTTCCGCCTGTGGAAGACATCGGCGGTGGACGTAATCCCCGACGAAAGACATGTGTAGTGTTGTGGTCTCCGGAAGGCTTCCGCCTGTGGAAGACATCGGCGGTGGACGTAATCCCCGACGAAAGACATGTGTAGTGTTGTGGTCTCCGGAAGGCTTCCGCCTGTGGAAGACATCGGCGGTGGACGTAATCCCCGACGAAAGACATGTGTAGTGTTGTGGTCTCCGGAAGGCTTCCGCCTGTGGAAGACATCGGCGGTGGACGTAATCCCCGACGAAAGACATGTGTAGTGTTGTGGTCTCCGGAAGGCTTCCGCCTGTGGGAGACATCGGCGGTGGACGTAATCCCCGACGAAAGACATGTGTAGTGTTGTGGTCTCCGGAAGGCTTCCGCCTGTGGAAGAGATGGCGGTGGACGTAATCCCCGACGAAAGACGTGTGTAGTGTTGTGGTCTCCGGAAGGCTTCCGCCTGTGGAAGAGATGGCGGTGGACATGTGTAGTGTTGTGGTCTCCGGAAGGCTTCCGCCTGTGGAAGAGATGGCAGTGGTGGGGGTGTAGTTGGATCGGACGAATCTGACATATTTCTTAATTGACATTTCAGGGCCTGCTGAATCTGCTGTTTACGTGATACCTTGAGGTAATTTGTGAAGGCTGTAGGGAAAAGTGCAGACAATCTCTACACTTAGTAGCCTGGGAGCACAGAGAGGTACAACCGAAACACAAGGGATGAGGGTCCTACCCAGACTTATTGCCGTGGCACTTGTTACAACGTGGCATGTATCTGCAATGATAGCAGAGTGTAATCAAAATGCATTTCCGCCCGATTATGTATGCTATAATCTCAATCCCAGCCTTATGGAAAAAACACCACTTTAATAATGATAATATCACAAGGGTATGACAATGAATTGAAGTACCAAGCAATAAAAAGAATACATAACACTTGACACGAACATACATGAGCAAGCAATGAATTCAAAATTGTTAACTGGAACAACAATACACCTGATACCGTATATGGCCATAGGTAAGCCAAATTTTGAGGACCAGAAAAAAGATTCTGTAGAAAGGGGTCGGCTTATGTTCCGGTTACACTTTCATTAAACTTTTTCTGTTGGCTAAAAACTACATTGTGTCGCTTCAGGTGAATGAAGAATGAAAATGTGAAATTTGCGATTTAACATCACTAGTCATGATGATTTACCATTTAGATTGTATTTCTTGTTATGCAAGGCATTGTTTTTCATGCAGGGATAAAGATTACCGAGTGTATTGTCTCATAAACTAAGCCGGAAATAGCAATCACCTGTACACACATGGCCTCCGAATATACCTATGATTACATTAAAACATACCCAATAATAGAACAGAAAAGAATTTTGATGAAATGATCACGAAAAAATAGTATCTTAAATTACTATTTTACTACGAATAATATATTTGGATATCGTTTTAGATTAATTGCAGGTTCTACTATATATCTTCAAAATAATGATAACAAGAGTTTGCCACTAACGTGGCTATATACCCCGCCCCTGTTGCAGAATTTATGACATAATTAAATCTCTACAAACCCTAACCTTTTTTAACCGAGGTGGAACTTGTCATGGAAATTGTGAAAAAAAGAAGAGTTTGGAACCTAAGTCCATCTTGCTGCCATAGAAACGTAAAAAAATAAAAATTTCTAAATAGCAAAAGGCACCAGTTCAGCATGTACCTGACAGACCTGCAAAGTTTGATGAAAAAATATTGAACGGTTTCCGAGTTATGCTCCAGAAACGAAATGTGACGGACGGACGTAAGGACGAACGGACGGAGCCTGTTTCTATATCCCCCGCCAGCTTTGTTGGGCAGGGGATAATAAAAACCTGGGTTATGTGGTAGCACTTTTGTGTAGTATCGGATACTTTTTTCGCATGAAACAATTTGACAAATCACTTTTAAGGTTTCGCGTTATCTCGCTATTTCCATCGCAGAAACAATATGTTGACATTTAATCGTCAAACTACAAGAAATATTTCTTTCAATGAGTCAAAGTATGGCAGTTATCATATATGTATCCATTTTCTGTCAACTAAGGTACGTTTCAAGGTGTCAATAGCTGTAATATGATCGTGGTTGCTGTAAATAACGGTGAGCTGGTAAAGCAAACTTTATGGAACAGGGCAAACGCAAGGTTTAAGAATGATGGATACTGAAATAATGTAAATATTATTGAATCAAAGTTTGATTAAAATTAATAAAATACATCATGAAGATTACAAACATGAGTCCAGATATACAATTAAACACTTTTTATTGCCAATGGTCTAACAACACGATAATTCAATTGATAGATCAATTTCCGATGATAGATCATGATGATAGTTTTAGGTTGGGGGTCCAGCTTATCTACCACACACAACAGTTTGATAGATTACAAGGACCAAGTTAATACCTTGGCTTATCTATCAGATCGGCTGATCTACGGTCATATACCTTACTGAGGCAAATGCCACCACTTCCAAGCCGAAATATTAATGCTATGGTTGAAATCATGAGATGTATATGAAGACACAAAATGGTAAGCAGAATATAAATCACAAGAAACAATAGAGTTGCAAAAACATGCAAAGGATTCAATGGATTATAGCTGAGATCTCAAACAGGTGACTGTTCTCCATGGGTGATAGCAGTAATGTGCTGATCGGTGACATCACACCTTCCATGGTCACATGGGAGCTGTGTGATAGGGTTAGCCACTCAACCCTCACACAGCTCTTTCTTAGTCCACAACAAGCAGTAAATGCATTAAGGAGTAATGCAGTATAAGTTAAAACATTTAATGATTCTAAAAACTTCAAAACCCATAACACTCAAATTCTGCAACAATCTACTTTGAGGCAAAAGAATGAGAACATTGAGTACAATACTCAACTTCATCACTTCTTAACTACTAAACCTTCTTCCAACTAGGAATCCTCCTGCCACTAAGCACTCTCACTGACCAGCACCTACCTGAGAGCCTGGATGTGATGTAGGAAAAGTCAAGATCGGATTTGTTCATTGTTCTGAAATAAGAAATAAACCTGATATAACACAAAGAAACCTTGAAAACAAGAGTCATCAGAAAGATGACATATCCCCCCAGCAGCGGTCTGTAAAGTAACCACAAGTAAATGTGCAATTCTGTATGTAATGAGTCAAGAGTTGAATGTTCTTTAAGAAGCATACATTGTTTACCAACAAAAGATCCACCATGGTCGCATCCATATGAAATGGAAAGTAAAACATGAGTGTTTCTGTGGTTTTTTTTATGCAAACAAATGACAAATTACAAGAAATAATAACTAAACAAGCGTATAGTCAACGAAGTCATCTATACCCCCCCCCCCCCCCCCCCGCCCATTTTAACACGTTATGGTCCCAAACCAGGTAACTGACCTAACATTTCTCTCAGCCCATGTCAAAATAGCTGCAATGGAAATTCTAAAAAAACATTTCTAAAACTCCTTAATATCAAATGGCACCAGTTCAGTATGTACTTTATATATAGACATGCAATGTTTGCGAGGAAATATTTAACAGTTTATTTGTTATACTCCATAAGTGAACCCACCCTATATGAAAAATTAAATCCAACTTGTTGCCATGGAAACATAAAAAATAAAAATTTATAAAATTCCTAAATAGCAAAAAGCACCAGTTCAGTATGTGCCTGGTAAACATGCAAAGTTTTGTAAGAAAGAATTTAACAGTTTTTGAGTTACGCTCCGGAAACGAACACCACCCTTATAGAACCTTAGTCCAACTTGTTACCATGGAAACGTAAAAAATAAAAATTTCTAAAATTCCTAAATAGCAAAAGGCACAACTTCAGTATGTGACTGATAGATATGCCAGGTTTCAATCAAATACACTGAATTGTTTTCGAGTTCTCCCCCAGAAAAGGAAATGATTACAGATGGATGGACAGAGAGACGGACGGACGGACAGACAGACTGGCTGATCGCTATATCCCCCCGCATAATATGACGGGGGGATAAAAAAGTTGAACATATGACATTTTAATAGCAAAAGAATGACATGGTGTGGAAAACATGCTTTATGCTGATACAGGGAACAGAGTGATACAGTGACTTACGCTGACACAGACAATTGAGTGTTACTGTGACTTACGCTGATACAGGGAACAGAGTGGTACTGTGACTCACGCTGATACAGGGAACAGAGTGATACTGTGACTTACGCTGATGCAGGGAACAGAGTGGTACTGTGACTCACGCTGATACAGACAATTGAGTGATAGTGTGACTCACGCTGATACAGGGAACAGAGTGATACTGTGACTTACGCTGATACAGGGAACAGAGTGATACTGTGACTCACGCTGATGCAGGGAACAGAGTGATAATGTGACTTACGCTGACACAGACAATTGAGTGATACTGTGACTTACGCTGATACAGGGAACAGAGCGGTACTGTGACTCACGCTGATACAGGGAACAGAGTGATACTGTGACTTCTGCTGATACAGACAACACAGTGATAATGTGACTCACGCTGATACAGGGAACAGAGTGGTACTGTGACTCACGCTGATACAGGGAACAGAGTGATACTGCAACTTACGCTGATACAGACAACACAGTGATACTGTGACTCACGCTGATACAGGGAACAGAGTGATACTGTGACTTACGCTGATGCAGGGAACAGAGTGGTACTGTGACTCACGCTGATACAGACAATTGAGTGATAATGTGACTCACGCTGATACAGGGAACAGAGTGGTACTGTGACTCACGCTGATACAGGGAACAGAGTGGTACTGTGACTCACGCTGATACAGGGAACAGAGTGATACAGTGACTCACGCTGATACAGACAATTGAGTGATACTGTGACTTACGCTGATACAGGGAATAGAGTGATACTGTGACTTACGCTGATACAGGGAACAGAGAGGTACTGTGACTCACGCTGATACAGGGAACAGAGTGGTACTGTGACTCACGCTGATACAGACAATTGAGTGATAATGTGACTCACGCTGATACAGGGAACAGAGTGGTACTGTGAGTCACGCTGATACAGGGAACAGAGTGGTACTGTGACTCACGCTGATACAGGGAACAGAGTGATACAGTGACTCACGCTGATACAGACAATTGAGTGATACTGAGACTTACGCTGATACAGGGAATAGAGTGATACTGTGACTCGCGCGGATACAGGGAACAGAGTGGTACTGTGACTCATGCTGATACAGGGAACAGAGTGATAATGTGACTCACGCTGATACAGGGAACAGAGTGATTATGTGACTCACGCTGATACAGGGAACAGAGTGATACTGTGACTCACACTGATACAGGGAACAGAGTGATAATGTGACTCACACTGATACAGGGAACAGAGAGGTACTGTGACTCACGCTGATACAGGGAACAGAGTGGTACTGTGACTCACGCTGATACAGGGAACAGAGTGGTACTGTGACTCACGCTGATACAGGGAACAGAGTGGTACTGTGACTCATGCTGACACAGACAATTGAGTGATAATGTGACTCAAGCTGATACAGGGAACAGAGTGATAATGTGACTCACACTGATACAGGGAACAGAGAGGTACTCTGACTCAAGCTGATACAGGGAACAGAGTGATAATGTGACTCACACTGATACAGGGAACAGAGTGGTACTGTGACTCACACTGATACACGGAACAGTGATATTATGACTTCCACTGATACAGACAACACAGTGATACTGCAACTTACACTGATACAGGGAACAGAGTGGTACTGTGACTTCCACTGATACAAACACCAGAGTGATACTGCAACTTACACTGATACAGGGAACAGAGTGGTACTGTGACTTCCACTGATACAGACAACACAGTGATACTGCAACTTACGCTGATACAGGGAACAGAGTGGTACTGTGACTTCCACTGATACAGACACCAGAGTGATACTGTGACTTACGCTGATACAGGGAACAGAGTGATACTGTGACTCACGCTGATACAGGTAACAGAGTGATACTCTGACTTACGCTGATACAGACACCAGAGTGATAATGTGACTCACGCTGATACAGGGAACAGAGTGGTACTGTGACTTCCACTGATACAGACAACAGAGTGATACTGCAACTTACGCTGATACAGACACCAGAGTGATACTGTGACTTCCTCTAATACAGGGAACAGAGTGATACTGTGACTTCCACTGATACAGGGAACAGAATGATACTGCAACTTACGCTGATACAGGGAACAGAGTGGTACTGTGACTTCCACTGATACAGGGGACAGAGTGATACTGTGACTTCCACTGATACAGGGAACAGAATGATACTGCAACTTACGCTGATACAGGGAACAGAGTGGTACTGTGACTTCCACTGATGCAGGGAACAGAGTGATACTGTGACTTCCACTGATACAGACACCAGAGTGGTACTGTGACTTCCACTGATACAGGGAACAAAGTGATACTGTGACTTCCACTGATACAGGGAACAAAGTGATACTGTGACTTACGCTGATACAGACAACACAGTGATACTGTGACTTACACTGATACAGACACCAGAGTGATACTGTGACTTCCAATGATACAGGGAACAGAGTGGTACTGTGACTTCCACTGATACAGGGAACAAAGTGATACTGTGACTTCCACTGATACAGGGGACAGAATGATACTGCAACTTACGCTGATACAGGGAACAGAGTGATACTGTGACTTACGCTGATACAGACACAAAAGTGATACTGTGACTTCCACTGATACAGACACAAAAGTGATACTGTGACTTCCACTGATACAGACACCAGAGTGATACTGTGTCTTCCACTGATACAGACACCAGAGTGATACTGTGACTTCCACTGATACAGGGGACAGAGTGATACTGTGACTTCCACTGATACAGGGGACAGAGTGATACTGCAACTTACGCTGATACAGACACCAGAGTGATACTGTGACTTCCACTGATACAGACACCAGAGTGATACTGTGACTTCCACTGATACAGACACCAGAGTGATACTGTGACTTCCACTGATACAGACACCAGAGTGATACTGTGACTTCCACTGATACAGACACCAGAGTGATACTGTGACTTCCACTGATACAGACACCAGAGTGATACTGTGTCTTCCACTGATACAGACACCAGAGTGATACTGTGACTTCCACTGATACAGGGAACAGAGTGATACTGTGACTTCCACTGATACAGGGAACAAAGTGATACTGTGACTTACGCTGACACAGTCTCCATGACCTTGCTAGAAGCATCCTTGATGTTCTTCACTAGACTACCAGCACCTCCACGGAGGCTGGAGAAAAGGGCTGTGGCACTTGACTGGGCAGGTGATGGTGCTGACCTCTGTGGAGTCCCCGGGTTGTTCATAGGAGGCCTTGATGCAGGTTCTGCAATATCAGATGCAACGCAATGTTCAATATACATGCATCATACATTCAATACACATCCTTACCTTTGATGACAAGGAGAAATCAATATACCATATTCGACGTAATAAGCTTTCATTTTTCCTGACATCAGAAAGCTATACAACTTCAGATGGGGGGGAAGGTCTGGTGGGTCTTAAAGTTGTTGTAACAGCCTGAGTATACTAATATCACAAATATAGTAATGAATTGATACTATTTCTTATCCTGATACAACATAGTATCCCACAGTTGGCATGGCGTCTGTGGGTGCAAAGGTAGTCTGTTGGTAACCTGGACTGGAATAAGTCATGGACTAGACCGGAATAAGTCATGGACTAGACCTAACTTCACTAATCCTGATTCACCTATCACATACTTACTCTCATATGCCACCCGTGAAGATCCGGGGTAGAATAGGTCTTCAGCAACCCATGCTTGCAGTAAAAGGCGACTATGTTTGTCGTAAAGGGCGACTAACGGGATTGGGTGGTCAGACTCGCTGACTTCGTTGATGCGCGTCATCAATCCCAATTGCGTGGATTGATGCTCATGATATCAATCACTGGATTGCCTGGTCAAGACTTGATTATTTACTGACCTAGAAATTTAAGTGTCTGAGATGGTATCAAGTCTGACTTCTCCAGATAGACAAACCATCACAAATGGAACAGAAGTCTCCCAGAGAAGTCGTTGTGCTTGTAAAGAATTTGAGGATCCTGTTCCTTCAGAATGCATTCGTCTATGTAAGACTGAATGCTCACTTCCTTCTTGTGAAGGAATGTTACTATAGGCTGAGTGATTTGTGCAGTGAAAGATGAAAGAAATTACAAACAGAAGGCTGTGCCATTTGTGTCTACCTTGGAATAACATGCGGTGTGGGGTTGATGTTCTTAATGAACTAGAACATGTAGAAGGCATCTTGAAGACCTAAAGATACCCAGAAGTTGCCCGTCTTAAAGGTGAAACATAGATCCTTTAGAGAAGTAAAACGGTGGTAGAGTGAGTGAGTTGGGTTTAACGCCTCTTTTAACAGTATTCCAGTTATATCACGGCTTGTCAGCTTAATGTGGGAGGAAGTGATGCAGGTCTCAGACGTTTACCACTTCGGTGAAACCCATGAGCACGGGTATGGTGCTGACAAACCTAGAAACATAATTGGGGCGAACCGGGATTCGAACCCACAATCATAGGTTTCTGGCGTGCCCAAGGGACGCAACTCTGCACAGCGAATCGTGGCGCCTTAGACGACTTGGCCACCCGTGCCCTCTAAAACGGTGGTAGAAAGAACTGTTGATAGAACTATTGAGTGAAGACCTTCAAGTTGTTAATTATGGGCATTTTGTGGGAATTCTTCTTCTGTATTAATAGAGGTTGTGTCCCAAGTGGATTCCTCTAAATGGACCTGTTGACGCAGAACCGAAAAATAACCACAAGCATGTATCAATAAATATTATGCAGGATAGGTTAAGTCATAGTAGTCGTAGCGGCAAAGGCGTAACAGATAAGGAAACATATCCCCTGCCACAAAGGCAACATAACGAGCCTGAGAAAAAGTGCCAAAAGGCGCTGATGTAGTTGTGGACCCATATGGTAAGAATCCCAAAGGGTAATATGATGTCAAAGGCCATCTGCTGCATCCATGGATGTTGATCCTGGCTGTCTCTAGCGAAACTAGAACATAGTGGAACAGCTGCCAAAGGCAACTAAACAGTTGTTGAAGATGATCTCTCAGATAAAGGCAAGTGGTTCTAACACTTGTCACACATGTAGTGATTGCTGATGTCGTACGCATAGTAGAGGTGGTCAACATATTGCTTCCCTAGACTGGCTACATGACAGCTTCTGTGTTAACCTCTTTTTGATTCTTCTAAGATAAAGTTCAACTTGCTGCATGGAGAGAGGCATTCACACTCTCAACATGTCAGTCTGGGAACAGGTCCCTCTACAGTTTGTGCAAGCAGGGTCGGGATCCGATTTGGACTTGTTACTATGACTTACCACACAGAAATGGAGGAAACCTGAGGATAAGATCTTTGTTCAAAACCCCCGTGCTCTCCCATACCACTTGCTTAAGATCCGACATAGGAAACAATAATCAAATATGCAGCACTAAATATAGACACACAATAACAAAACTGCAAATGTAACAAACACATGAATATTGATGACAAAATTATTTCTCTATCACCAACATCAGACAATACACATGGTAAAATAAAAACACCCAAAATGTGAAAAGCAAAACAAACAAAAAAGGGAATTTTGTATGCAGTAGCCTTCCACTGAAATGTAATCAAGAGGATCAAATATAGAGCCCGATGCTAAAGGATGTAAAATGGCTAGCATGCAAAGACATGCTGCCAGCCAGCTAAGGTTGAAGAATATAAAGTGAGGCTTCTAGGGGAGGTAACTCTAGTCAGGACCTGGTGGAGAGACACATTTCGGTTTTGTGTAAAGGATCCAAGATATGAGAACACTTGCACTATGTTGTATCAGAATAAGAAATAATTTGCAATTTATTGAGCTATGCTAGCCCTACATTTATTTAACCTGGTCGCACCTTGACTGGGAGTAACTGTTACATCTCCAATCTGTAGTGTTTCTTTCAGGTTCACTCTACTGACTGCAGCAATAGCCTGCAGGCGGTCGATGATGTCGGATATGTCGGGCCGCTGAGTTGGGTCCACCTGCAGCATGGATCCTGTAACATGAACATTACACAGCCCTCACACCATTTGTCATGTTACCTTGTTACATGAAAATCATAATAAGGCCAGACAAATACATGATATTGTACTATGGATTCCTTAGACCAAATTAGCTGTAAGGAGGCAAAGGGGAAAAGGGAAGAAGAAATAAGCCAGATAAATAAAACAATGTCTGTATTATGGATTTATGGGCCAAATTTATTGGATGGAGGAAAAAAAACTAAAAAATGTCAACCATTTCCTGACTTATAGGGTACATACTTGTGTACAGTGCACACTTTCTTAAAAAAAACATACAGCTGTGTAATAGGGTGTTTGCGAAATACATACAAACAATGAGATTTGATGTTTTTGACCCCAATGAAAAGACACCAGCGACACAACACTGGAAATACTTTGTCAACAAATGTGTACTGAAATACACAAGTTAATCCTGTTATTACACTATCTGATTATAAAAAATCATCTTTGTATATCTGGACTTACGTTTATAAAAAAATTTATTCAAAATTTCAATCAATATTTCTTACAACAATTTCGGTGAAAATAATGAGTAAACTGATTGGCAGATTGCACCAAAACACCGCTTTTCACAGAGAATACAATTCCTTTTCAGATCATTTCCTCAAAAATCTTTTTTCATATAACTGGGTATTTTTTAGGTGAATCGCTTGGAGTTCTGGGAGAACTTTTTCTGGCTTACTTTACGAGACAAAATACACACAGTAATCTGAATCTCTACAGTTAAGACAATGCCTAACATAACAAGAAATACAACCAATATGGTAAATCACCGTGTCAAATGATGTTTTATCGCAGATTTCACACTTTAATTGACATCATCATTTAAGTTTTTCATCTCCTGTACCAGAAGCGATATGACATAGTTATTAACTGTGCACAATACACAAAATAAAACTGTTGAAATCAGATCTCAGTTCTCACTACAGCTAAACAAAGATTTGAGAAGATCTCAATTCAGGTCACTCCATTACGAGTCAGAGGATGACCCTTCATCCAACCAATGAAATCATTGCTTGCCAGATCGGGATAGTGACAGTAAGAATGTGTTTTCTAATCATGCAACCTTGAAAAGGTTGTACGACTGATTTCTTCAAAATTATCATCTATCTCCCACTTCAATGGGATAAACATTTTAAACGGAAGAGACTTTTCATAGCCTACTAGACTTTCCAGAATTTTCTTTTGTTCAGTTTCAAATTCTGAATTGATAGTATCAAAACGTAGTCTGGAATGAAAGTCGCCAGCTTGAAACCATACCGTAAAGCTAGAGAAAGCTGCTTTCTGATTGGCTGATGTCGACTTCTTGTCAGCATGGTTAGTCATTACACTGGTCGGTCTAAGTTCACAAAATGTCCTTCTGACATGGCATGTACGGGGGTGAGTGAGTGAGTTAAGATTTATAGTCACATCAGCAATATTTAAGCCATATCGTGACTAAATCAAGTTGTACAGTAATAATACATAAATATAGACTATAAAATCTGTCGTCAATGGACAGTAAAAGAACTGGAGTATCACAGCTATAAAATTAAAACTAGTAAGTAAAATTTTGACTAATCAGTACAATACATTATAAAAGTTGGCTAGAGATCACCAGCAACCAAAGTTAAGCCACCATACAAGGGACCACGGGGACTTGGCATGTAAGGGGATGTCCTCAGATGTTTGTGTAGCGGTACCAAGCACTAAGATATGATATTAATGGGATTGATTTTCCCAAAATTTGTACCCCAAAATGGGGGCGGAACACATTATATTCGAGTGCGCACTCAAGAGTATGCTTCCCTTCCATTGAGATACTGATCTGTATTTTTGTGTTGAAGATGCATTTTTTAAAAAGAACAACACAATTTTTCGTTTATTTATTCATAAATCATGGAATCCTTTCTATAAGGAAAAGAACTGGTCTGCCCTAAAATTGAAACCAATTTAATAAATGGAGTGTTATTAAAATGTCTGACTTACTTATAAGATCATGATACACAGAGTACTCTGTGTCTGTGTCTGTGTCTGTGTCTGTGTCTGGTATGCTGTAGTTGGCATTGATGATCCTCAGTTTGGCCGAGTCCTCAAATGGATGGTCCATGAAACACAGCTTGAATAGGACACAACCCAATGCCTGCAACAAGTGGGTGCAGCGACATGACCAGACTAGAAAGGAATTTGCTAGTAGTAGGACGATAAACCAATGCATCAGTGGTTCGCAATTTTTTACTTCTTGATACAAGCATCGATCACAATCACACACAAAGTAAAAGTATCGATTCTTACGTTAAATGTATTCTTTAATAAATTTTACATCAAACACTAATTACTAGTGAAAATTAGTAGTGAAAACATAAATATTTTCATCCATTGTGCCATACTTGACACTGCCAAATGTAAATCGTTTTTGTGCCATGTATTTGGCCATCCTATCTATGAAAAAGATATCTTACACACCACAGATAAGAGCACATGCAAGTATCATAAAACATAGCATCACGGGCAAGGTATCGTGATACGTATTAGATCACACAGTTCGTGTATCATCCAAGCCTTCGAAGTTACACAACGCAAAAGCAGACCTTCCCTAGCTTATTCATGAAAGGCCCCCAAACTTACCTCTAGCTAATGTGCAAGCAACAAACACTCAACAAAATGGTATGTTATTTTGTGTGTGTGTGTGTGTGTGTGTGTGTGTGTGTGTGTGTGTGTGTGTGTGTGTGTGTGTGTGTGTGTGTGTGTGTGTGTGTGTGTGTGTGTGTGTGTGTGTGTGTGTGTGTGTGTGTGTGTGTGTGTGTGTGTGTGTGTGTGTGTGTGTGTGTGTGTGTGTGTGTGTGTGTGTGTGTGTGTGTGTGTGTGTGTGTGTGTGTGTGTGTGTGTGTTGAAAAAGCTCAGCAATGTTCCAGCTATATGACAGTGGTCTGTAAATGATCAAGTCTGGACCAGACGATCCAGTGATTGTTAGTATTAACATCGATCTATGCAATGGGGATATGATGACATGCATCAACAAAGTCAGCAACCCTGACCACCCGATCCTGTTAGTAGCCTCTGAGGACAAGCGTATGTGCCTCTTATGTCAAGCAAGGGTTGCTGAAGAACTATTCTAACCCGGATCAATATGTGCAACTCAAGGTAAACCTGTAAGTGGTTCACCTGCTGAAGGGGCACGATGTAGGCCTGAAATATGTCTATGTATAACAAAGTTGTTATCCATAATACTCCTGGTCATAACTACATCAGACTTATACATGTCTATAAAGTCTTTTATAGACCTTGTCATTTCAGAGAAGAAAAGAATGTGGAAGTTCTGAGCAGACACACAGACTGGCTGATTGTAACTGACAACATGCTATGTCATGAAAGTTCAGGTGAGCTCAGAACCTCACCGTTAAGTTTAACCTTTCAATTGCAAAGTATACACATATTTTCGAAAAAGGCAACAAACAAGTTTTAAGGATTTTTTCTGTATTTTTGTGACCTTTACCTTTGGATTGCTAATGACTCTGCCACAATATGTGGAAGAAGTCATGATAGAGTATCCAATACTGATTTTAATACTTCAACAGTATATGTTAATCTTTTTGGAATCAACAGTCCAAATCTAACAATTTGAATGGGGTGCTTACTGCTAGCACTACTACTAAAGCCTGTTCATGCAGTACTGGAGAAGGGTGTACCTTCAGCTGTCTCTGTAGAAACAGTTGTCAGCAGGTGATACAAGGAATTAGGGAATTATCTCCCTAGTGAAACTAGTAAAATCCTAGATATTTTATATATTTGTTTACTTATCCTGCATTAGTCCTTAATGCATTTACTGCTTGGTATTGACAGAGAGAAATAGATGTGTGAAGATTTTGCTTGAAGTTGTTTCAACTAGCTAAGAGGCCAACCCTATCACACAGCTCCCATATGACCAGAGGAAGTGATGTCATGGATCGTCACAATACTTGCTAAGACCAGAACGATCGGAAGGCATCATGGAGAAGCAGCTCTGTGATGGATGGGTATCTTTAGATGCAGTAATGCAGGATAAGTATACAAATATAAAATATATCTAGGACTTAAATAGATTTTTTATTTATCCTGCATCTTTATCCGACGGAATCGGTGGAGGGCATACTTTCAGATGTGGACTTTCATCTCAGAACTCTGATTCCCTCAGCCAATCATCGACTGTGCGGTCAGCCACAATTGACCAGTCTGTAGACGGGAAAACAGGAGTTATGTATGCAGAGTGTCCAGGTACAACGCAGCCTAAGACGATAATCAAGTTAAGGTTGTAGACTGATGTACCGAGCCGTAGTGTGTCCAGCATTAAACCTTCTATTCATGGGCAATTGCCGGGGAGTTTGAGAGGCCGGCTCTGGACAGGAGGCGAGTTATTGGTGTGCCATGGTGAAAGCGACCGCCTGAATCTCATGCCGGTTGTTGGAGCAGGGAGGGTCCAATCCTGCGACCTCGTAGGCCTGAAGAGGATGGCTCGAGGGCGATGGTGTTGCGGCTATCTTCTACTGGGGATGTCACTGACACTGGTATAAAAATGCGGTGTCGTTGCCTGGGGCATTCCTCGGAACAACGGATGTAACAACACAATGCTCTCACCGGGCACGGGAGGACCTCTAGTTCATCTTCAACACCCACTATTGATGATAATGGGGGCATGAGGAATGATCTATGGGGCTGTCTTGGAAGTTGATTCTTGGCAATGAAGTCCCAGCACAGTCCGAGATGCACGGTGCCAGGAGGAAGACTGTTTTCTTCACCAGATGGTACAACAACGCCATGTTGAGGGGCGCGAAAGGCACATTTCTCAGCAGGGTGAGAACAATGTTCAAATAAAAAGATGATGGATGAAACTTTGCCTCATAGTCTTCCAGTCTATGGAATGAGCAGAGCAAGTAGTAGTTTCCGGGATTTTCGTCAAACGCTGATCTTCCGGAACAGCCAGAACAGAGTTGAGAGCCACAAGGTAGGTCATGATGGTAGTACCCTTCAGCCGACACTTGTGATGAAGATAGAGCAGGAACTCAGCCAAGAATTGAGGCAATGCAGTAGTGGGGTCTTGATGTTTTCCCTGCAAATACTCTCTCAAAAGATAGCCACTTGTCATCATACAAGCTCCTAGTGGACGGACGATGTGTCATTTTGATGGCCTTTGTCGTTCTGGCGTTAAACGCTCTCTGTAGATGAAGTAGACGTGTGGACGTAACCTGTCTGGTCCTGGATGTGGCTGCCTGCTTTAGGGATGAATCAGCAGGTTTCGCCAGTCTGAGAGTGGCAACGGGTCAGCACTGGCTATTTCTCTGACGATGACGAACCAGGCCCTTGCCGGCAACGAGGGCGTGACCAAAGTCAGATTGAGGCTCAGTGTCGACTTGATCTTTTGGAAAACCTGGGGAAGGATTAAGCATACACTTTTAGTCTTTCCCAGGGGACGCTGAAGGGGTCAACCGCCATGGCCAGGGGATCCGGTACTGGCGATATGAATGTTGTTAACTGATGGTTTGGGCTGGCGACGAACAGGTCGATGTTGGGGTGACCATGGTCCTGACAAACAATTGAAGGCGTCTGGGTGGAGCTACCACTCTGTGGGGGCGGCTTTGTCTGGGCGGGTTAGAGCGTCTGCTAGGATATTGCGACAGCCTGGAATGTGTTGGACCTGGAATCTGATCCCCAGATGATCAACCAGTTTGAAGAAGCCAAACGTCTTTTGAAGGAACAAGGACGAGTGAGTCGTTCCCTGAACCTGGAGGCGCCAGAGGATGGTTATGTTGTCCATCAAAATGGAGAGTCAGGCGTGTCGAAGGGTCTGCTTCCAATGAGAGAGAGAGCCAGAATAAGCACCTCCATCTGTTGATGTCCTCTAGATGTGCACCCCATCCCTGAAGGGAGGCATCTATGAAGAGGTGTCAAGCCCTGTCAAGGAGACATCGTCTAAGATGTTCAATTCCACCGTCCACCACCGGATATGAGATTTGAGGTGATCCAGGAGGACAATGTGAAACTGAGGGATCCTGACGTCAGACGCCTGGACGCAGTTGGAGCCTTCCTCTGTACGTCAAATCCTGTGCTGAGGTTAGGAGGCCCAGGAGGACTTGCCACTGACCTAGTGTGCGTCGCTGGAAGAGAGCCGGGACCAAGTGTAGTTGTATACGTGCCCACCGGTCACTGGGTGCAGAGAGGAGGTCAAGGTTGGTCTGAAAAAGACTGCCGATGAACTGAAAGCAGAATGAGGGTGTCAAGACTTCCCAAGGTTGATTCTAAATCCCAGTTGGTTAAGGAGATGGAGGATGAACAAGAGAGTGCGTCTGTCTAGGTGTCTGTAGAGGTGCACTTCGGATGCAGGCATCTGTATAGGCACTGTCTGGTGGATAGACGCCATCTGTATAGACGCTGTGGGCAGCGCTTGTTAGGGCATCTATAGGCACTGGGGCCGTGGCTGAGGGCGTTGGCGTCTGTTGCATGGCCTGAATGTACTGTAGGATAGAGGTGTCCATCATAGGAGGCTGGTAAGGGTTGTGGAGGCGGCTGTTGGTAGCTGTAGCCCGAGAGCATCTGTATGGGGGACTGTATCGGTGCTTTAGGTGTATAGGTGCCAGAACAGCCTCAAGATGAATTTTCAAGCATTGATGCCGTTGGTGGCTTAAATGAAGGAGCAAATGTAAGTTTGGAAAGTCTTCCTCAAATAACCTTGTGGTGTCCCTCTTATTTACCCTGTTAGCAGGTGAGGGCGCCACTGACACAAGATGGTCTGCTACCCAATCGGGTACTTGCGCTAAGGTGAGGGACACCAGAAATGGCTGTACTAGGAAGCACATTAGGCATTTGGTATACGTTAGGCGCAGGTGTAGGTGCTAACACTTGTGCCAAAGTTGTTGGAACAGCACTAAGCTCATCATGTGCTGGTTGCTTAACCGGGTACACTGTAAGCCCTTGGGCTGATGTCATTGTAGAGGCCTTTGAGTGGCAGGCAGACCCTGCATTCAGCGCAGATCTATGAGAGAGGCTCATCAGTGATGACTGGATCATTGTAGAAGCGCTTGGACCATTGTCCAATTAGGATTTGGGAACGGTGTTGACGCCTAAGAGTGCATATGCTGATCATGCGTCACCTGTGTAACATTGTACCCTGAAGTCATTGTAGAGGCACTTGGGGTAGAAGTCAGGCGCTGCGCTCGGCGCAGGTAACTGAAACACAAAGCTCATTGGTATTGACTGGATCATGGCTTGCGTCTGCACTACCCCTATCAAAGGGTCTTGAGACGCTGGCGCCGGCGTTGCAGATTTAGCAGATCTGAATGTCTGAAAATTAGGAGCAGTTACAATACTCTCAAAATCCTCTGGTATTGTTGATTTCGCTGGAGGGTGCACTTCTGTAGTCACAGTTATGGGCGTCATATTACCTGCCAATGATAACGGCTGGGTGGTAATGACTGAACCATGTCCTTCACTATTCAGCAAGTGTGACATTCCTCTCGTCTCATGAGGGGATTGCTGCAAAATATGATTGTGAGTAACCTGCCTTTATATTGTAAAACTCGTTGGAGAGAGATTTACACAAAAATTACGTTTAGAATTTGGCGAGCACATTTGCGTGCATGCCGAAGAACGTGGATTAGGATATTTGGGCGATTTTTTCCCACGACAATATGTACAACGCGCAAGCATAGTTTACGCAATTAAACCATTTTTGATGAAATGGTACTGGAAGAATGCCGTAGAATTGGACAATAATCTATCGGAAAAAATACAAGTTGAAAGTGTATACAATATTTTTATATATGCAACTCAATGTAAACCAAAGCTATTTACATTTCGAGTTTGGCGAGTACATCTGCGTGACAGAGTCTTTTTACGCCTAATTAAGTCACATAAAACTACACAACATGGTGAATGTAATATGAAAAGAATACATCACCAATCGCAAATCAATTTTAGAATTGTAGACGAAAATTGAAAGTCTAAATTAATCCAAGAGAAGAACTCCGCTGGGAAACGTCCTTGGTGTAGTGCGACAAGCAGTGATGTGAAGAAGGTGACCTTAGGTGTCATCAAGGTCACAGGACAGCAGAGGTGGTCAGTAAAAGGGACTTCAGAACAACATTTTATTTCTTCACCCAGGACCATCGCTGTTGCACTGTCCTTCTAGTTGTCATAAGGTAAGCAGTGAATGCATTAAGGAGTAATGCTGGATAAGTAAAAAATATAACTGATAAGCAGAGCAGGAATGTCTTGTGTTCAAAGAGAAAATCTATAAATCTACAGGATTTTAACTGTGGACGGAGACCAGTGAAGTCATCTTGAATTGTTTGATGGTTATACATTTCAATCATTTCTAAGCATTAAGAATGCACAAAAAAACAATTTCTGTGATTCAACATATAATCTTAGCTCAAGAATAAATATGTTCATTCTTTTTCAAAACATTTATATCGTGTAGTCGTAACTTCATAGGCAATTAAATCATAAAATTTTCATATTCAGCCAATAACACTGCTTTAATGTCATACTTTATCACAAAAATATTCTCGAAAATGTTATTCATCCCTACCCTCATCCATTTTGTGTGTATTTACCCATATGTCGCCTGCCTCGTTGATAGGGAAGTTCTGTTACAGCAGCTTGTGTGTCTATTTACCCATATGTCGCCTGCCTCGTTGATAGGGAAGTTCTGTTACAGCAGCTTGTGTGTGTATTTACCCATATGTCGCCTGCCTCGTTGATAGGGAAGTTCTGATACAGCAGCTTGTGTGTGTATTTACCCATATGTCGCGTGCCTCGTTGATAGGGAAGTTCTGATACAGCAGCTTGTGTGTGTATTTACCCATATGTCACGTGCCTCGTTGATAGGGAAGTTCTGATACAGCAGCTTGTGTGTGTATTTACCCATATGTCGCGTGCCTCGTTGATAGGGAAGTTCTGATAAAGCAGCTTGTGTGTGTATTTACCCATATGTCGCCTGCCTCCTTAATAGGGAAGTTCTGATACAGCAGCTTGTGTGTGTATTAACCCATATGTCGCCTGCCTCATTAATAGGGGAGGTTCTGATACAGCAGCTTGTGTGAGTATTTACCCATATGAGGCCTGCCTCATTAATAGGGAAGTTCTGATACAGCAGCTTGTGTGTGTATTAACCCATATGTCGCCTGCCTCATTAAAAGGGAAGTTCTGATACAGCAGCTTGTGTGTGTATTTACCCATATGAGGCCTGCCTCATTAATAGGGAAGTTCTGATACAGCAGCTTGTGTGTGTATTTACCCATATGTCGCCTGCCTCATTAATAGGGAAGTTCTGGTACAGGTCCAGCATCTCGGGGGCTCGGTACATTGGTGTTGTGTTCTTGGCAATCTGAGAGGAAAAGATAGCAGGAACAACAAATGAATGGATGTGTAGAATAAGCACTCAGTAAAAGAACAATATACACGAACGCATGCATTCTGAATAAGTGCTTAGTAGAGGACAATTTATTTCTTTGCACAGCATTAAACAGCTGTGGATCTGAAGATCTTCAATGTACACCTGCTGTTTGTGCAAACTAACACATACTTCAGATGCAAAATCTGCATCTGTAGCAAGGGTTTTTGTCAAGCTGTTCAAAATGTCTGTCCAAAAACAACACGATAATGGACTTATCACTTATTATTGTTTAGTCTTCCAGAAGTCTTCACAGCGGGGGAATGGCAAGTATTTCTAAATTTCATGCCTGATATACAATATTAGAGAGTAACAACCAACTTAATGATATAATGATATTAAGCCATCACAATGTATGAGTGATGTGAAGCATGATGAGTGTTCACTTAATGTAAGATGCCACATAGTGTGATGTGTGTTCACTTAATGTATGATGCCATGAAGTGTGATGTGTGTTCAATTAATGTATGAGGCCATGTAGTGTGATGTGTGTTCACTTAATGTATGATGCCATGTAGTGTAATGTGTGTCCACTTAATGTATGATGCCATGTAGTGTGATGTGTGTTCACTTAATGTATGATGCCATGTAGTGTAATGTGTGTTCATTTAATGTATGATGCCATGTAGTTTGATGTGTGTTCACTTAATGTATGAGGCCATGTAGTTTGATGTGTGTCCACTTAATGTATGATGCCATGTAGTGTAATGTGTGTTCACTTAATGTATGATGCCATGTAGTGTGATGTGTGTCCACTTAATGTATGATGCCATGTAGTTTGATGTGTGTTCACTTAATGTATGATGCCATGTAGTTTGATGTGTGTCCACTTAATGTATGATGCCATGTAGTGTAATGTGTGTCCACTTAATGTATGATGCCATGTAGTTTGATGTGTGTCCACTTAATGTATGATGCCATGTAGTGTAATGTGTGTCCACTTAATGTATGATGCCATGTAGTGTGATGTGTGTCCACTTAATGTATGATGCCATGTAGTGTAATGTGTGTCCACTTAATGTATGATGCCATGTAGTTTGATGTGTGTCCACTTAATGTATGATGCCATGTAGTGTAATGTGTGTCCACTTAATGTATGAGGCCATGTAGTGTAATGTGTGTCCACTTAATGTATGAGGCCATGTAGTGTGATGTGTGTTCACTTAATGTATGATGCTACATAGTTTGATGTGTGTTCACTTAATGTATGATGCCATGTAGTGTAATGTGTGTCCACTTAATGTATGAGGCCACATAGTTTGATGTGTGTTCACTTAATGTATGATGCCATGTAGTGTAATGTGTGTCCACTTAATGTATGAGGCCATGTAGTGTAATGTGTGTCCACTTAATGTATGATGCTACGTAGGGTGATGTGTGTTCACTTTATGTATGCCACCAGATAGTTTGATGTGTGTTCACTTAATGTATGATGCCATGTAGTGTAATGTGTGTCCACTTAATGTATGAGGCCACATAGTTTGATGTGTGTTAACTTAATGTATGAGGCCATGTAGTTTGATGTGTGTTTACTTAATGTATGATGCCATGTAGTGTAATGTGTGTCCACTTAATGTATGAGGCCATGTAGTGTGATGTGTGTTCACTTAATGTATGATGCCATGTAGTGTAATGTGTGTTCACTTAATGTAGGATGCCATGTAGTGTGATGTGTGTTCACTTAATGTAGGATGCCATGTAGTTTGATGTGTGTTCACTTAATGTATGATGCCACATTTATTTAATGTGTGATGCCATGTAGTTTGATGTGTGTTCACTTAATGTATGATGCCATGTAGTGTGATGTGTGTTCACCTAATGTATGATGCCATGTAGTTTGATGTGTGTCCACTTAATGTATGATGCCATGTAGTGTGATGTGTGTTCACTTAATGTATGATGCCATGTAGTTTGATGTGTGTCCACTTAATGTATGATGCCATGTAGTGTAATGTGTGTTCACTTAATGTATGATGCCATGTAGTTTGATGTGTGTTCACTTAATGTATGATGCCATGTAGTTTGATGTGTGTTCACTTAATGTATGATGCCACATAATTTGATGTGTGTTCACTTAATGTTTGAGGCCATGTAGTGTAATGTGTGTTCACTTAATGTATGATGCCATGTAGTGTGATGTGTGTTCACTTAATGTATGATGCCATGTAGTGTGATGTGTGTCCACTTAATGTATAAGGCCATGTAGTGTGATGTGTGTTCACTTAATGTATGATGCCATGTAGTGTGATGTGTGTTCACTTAATGTATGATGCCATGTAGTGTGATGTGTGTCCACTTAATGTATGATGCCATGTAGTGTGATGTGTGTCCACTTAATGTATGATGCCATGTAGTTTGATGTGTGTTCATTTAATGTATGATGCCATGTAGTGTAATGTGTGTTTACTTAATGTATGATGCCATGTAGTGTGATGTGTGTTCACTTAATGTATGATGCCACATAGTTTGATGTGTGTTCACTTAATGTATGAGGCCATGTAGTTTGATGTGTGTTCACTTAATGTATGATGCCATGTAGTGTAATGTGTGTCCACTTAATGTATGATGCCATGTAATGTGATGTGTGTCCACTTAATGTATGAGGCCATGTAGTTTGATGTGTGTCCACTTAATGTATGAGGCCACATAGTTTGATGTGTGTTCACTTAATGTATGATGCCAGTAGTGTGATGTGTGTTCACTTAATGTATGATGCCACATAGTTTGTTGTGTGTTCACTTAATGTATGAGGCCATGTAGTTTGATGTGTGTCCACTTAATGTATGATGCCACGTAGTGTAATGTGTGTTCACTTAATGTATGATGCCATGTAGTGTGATGTGTGTTCACTTAATGTATGATGCCACATAGTTTGATGTGTGTCCACTTAATGTATGAGGCCATGTAGTTTGATGTGTGTTCACTTAATGTATGATGCCATGTAGTGTGATGTGTGTCCACTTAATGTATGATGCCATGTAGTGTAATGTGTGTCCACTTAATGTATGAGGCCACATAGTTTGATGTGTGTTAACTTAATGTATGAGGCCATGTAGTTTGATGTGTGTTTACTTAATGTATGATGCCATGTAGTGTAATGTGTGTCCACTTAATGTATGAGGCCATGTAGTGTGATGTGTGTTCACTTAATGTATGATGCCATGTAGTGTAATGTGTGTTCACTTAATGTAGGATGCCATGTAGTGTGATGTGTGTTCACTTAATGTAGGATGCCATGTAGTGTAATGTGTGTTCACTTAATGTATGATGCCACATTTATTTAATGTGTGATGCCATGTAGTTTGATGTGTGTTCACTTAATGTATGATGCCATGTAGTGTGATGTGTGTTCACCTAATGTATGATGCCATGTAGTTTGATGTGTGTCCACTTAATGTATGATGCCATGTAGTGTGATGTGTGTTCACTTAATGTATGATGCCATGTAGTTTGATGTGTGTCCACTTAATGTATGATGCCATGTAGTGTAATGTGTGTTCACTTAATGTATGATGCCATGTAGTTTGATGTGTGTTCACTTAATGTATGATGCCATGTAGTTTGATGTGTGTTCACTTAATGTATGATGCCACATAATTTGATGTGTGTTCACTTAATGTTTGAGGCCATGTAGTGTAATGTGTGTTCACTTAATGTATGATGCCATGTAGTGTGATGTGTGTTCACTTAATGTATGATGCCATGTAGTGTGATGTGTGTCCACTTAATGTATAAGGCCATGTAGTGTGATGTGTGTTCACTTAATGTATGATGCCATGTAGTGTGATGTGTGTTCACTTAATGTATGATGCCATGTAGTGTGATGTGTGTCCACTTAATGTATGATGCCATGTAGTGTGATGTGTGTCCACTTAATGTATGATGCCATGTAGTTTGATGTGTGTTCATTTAATGTATGATGCCATGTAGTGTAATGTGTGTTTACTTAATGTATGATGCCATGTAGTGTGATGTGTGTTCACTTAATGTATGATGCCACATAGTTTGATGTGTGTTCACTTAATGTATGAGGCCATGTAGTTTGATGTGTGTTCACTTAATGTATGATGCCATGTAGTGTAATGTGTGTCCACTTAATGTATGATGCCATGTAATGTGATGTGTGTCCACTTAATGTATGAGGCCATGTAGTTTGATGTGTGTCCACTTAATGTATGAGGCCACATAGTTTGATGTGTGTTCACTTAATGTATGATGCCATGTAGTGTGATGTGTGTTCACTTAATGTATGATGCCACATAGTTTGTTGTGTGTTCACTTAATGTATGAGGCCATGTAGTTTGATGAGTGTTCACTTAATGTATGATGCCATGTATTGTAATGTGTGTCCACTTAATGTATGAGGCCATGTAGTGTGATGTGTGTTCACTTAATGTATGATGCCATGTAATGTGATGTGTGTTCACTTAATGTATGATGCCACGTATGGTGATGTGTGTTCACTTTATGTATGCCGCCAGATAGTTTGATGTGTGTTCACTTAATGTATGATGCCATGTAGTGTAATGTGTGTCCACTTAATGTATGAGGCCACATAGTTTGATGTGTGTTAACTTAATGTATGAGGCCATGTAGTTTGATGTGTGTTCACTTAATGTATGAGGCCATGTAGTGTGATGTGTGTCCACTTAATGTATGATGCCATGTAGTGTGATGTGTGTTTACTTAATGTATGATGCCATGTAGTGTAATGTGTGTCCACTTAATGTATGAGGCCATGTAGTGTGATGTGTGTTCACTTAATGTATGATGCCACATAGTTTGATGTGTGTTAACTTAATGTATGAGGCCATGTAGTTTGATGTGTGTTCACTTAATGTATGATGCCATGTAGTGTAATGTGTGTCCACTTAATGTATGAGGCCATGTAGTGTGATGTGTGTTCACTTAATGTATGATCCCATGTAGTGTGATGTGTGTTCACTTAATGTATGATCCCATGTAGTGTGATGTGTGTCCACTTAATGTATGATGTATGATGCCATGTAGTGTGATGTGTGTTCACTTAATGTATGATGTATGATGCCATGTAGTGTGATGTGTGTTCACTTAATGTATGATGTATGATGCCACGTAGGGTGAAATGTGCCTCCTGACCTCATCCTCCACCAGGCTCCTCTTGATTGCTGACCATGAGTTGTCTGGCAGGTAGGTCTCAGTTGTGGCACTGCCAAAGTCACACACCTTGATCAGTCCCTGGGCGCTCACCAGCAGATTCTCAATCTAAGCAAACACACAAGTCACAGTTCATTCATTCAGAATTACCAAGTTACATAATACATTGCACACATTCCAACTAAACATCAGGCCTTGACAAACATAGAAGTTTCGAGTACTTGTGATCTCAATGAAATCAGATCTTTTACTCTGATGAGATACCCCTTAATGTTATGATCTGAGGCCACCTCCATACAAGGTTGAGTACTAGCAGCTTGCAACATGCGATATACAACTTACAACAAATGATAAACATGTGACAAATGCATCGCATGACCACTGTGGTTGCAAGACCTTTTGCATCTAATAGCCAGAACTTGTCACTTGACATTTCCAATAAAATACAGTCTTAAGATATGTACTAATCCTGCCTGCGATACCAAAAGAAATCTCACTAGACATGAGTTTCCGACTTGACCAAGTACTGTAAAGATATTGCGAAACTTGCTGTTAGAGTAGTTCCTCCCGCCACAGCTTATTCCACAGCATCAACCACTCGCAGATGCTACTCATCCAACTGTGGCTGGAGGTTAGCCCAGGTGAGCAGGGTAAGTAATGTTGGTTTGTTGTTTAATGCCGCACTAAGCAATATTCCAGCTATATGACAGCGTCTGTAAATACAGTCAAGTCCCGTTAATCCAACATCATTGGCTGCACGTGATTAGGTCGGATTAACGAGTATGTCGGATAAACAAAATTAAGTAGTATTAACGTTCGTGATCAGACAACTACACGATAGGTAACGATACAAACACGTAATAAAAAATGAAAAATGAAATAGTCATATTGTTATATTACATTGTTAGCGGAATATGTTTTCTAATCATTATTTTATAATCAATCTCTAAACCTGTTACAGACTGTATGACTTATGGAAATACTTTAAAAAGGAAAGTCTGGAATGGAAGTCGCCAATTTGAAACTGGTACCGCAAAGCTTAAGAAAGCTGCTTTCTTAGTGGCTAACGCTGACTTCCTGTTAGTCATTTTATTGGTCGGTCATAGTTCGCGAAAGGTTGTTCTGATGTGACATGTAATGGGATGTCCTTGGCGATAGCGAGAACTTGTATCTGATTTTAATGAGATTGAGGTAATGTAAGTATGTGATTAATCCTGTTTTCTTTATTTAAAGCATTAATTGTTTATTGATAAGCACGTTTAACTCTGCAGCCGTTGTAATATGCAGCACGGAGTACGCTGATCACTGTGTCAGATTAACGAGACTGATTAATGAGTGATTTCAGTAATTCATTTCAAATTAGGTGTGTCATAGTCAGAGTGCCAGACTGTCGGATTAATGGATCTAAATAGCACTGATTTAATCGGTTCCCATTTGTGTCGGATAAAGCCGATTGTCGGATTAACAAGACTTGACTGTAATCGATACTGGACCAGACAATCCACTGATTGACACGATAAGCGTCGATCTATGCAATTGGGATACGATGACATGCATCAACGAAGTCAGCGAGCCTGACCACAAAACCTGTTAGTCGCCTCTAAGTATAGTTATTTATTGAAATAAATCTGAACCCCCTGATTACAAGGAAATGTAAGCTGACGTACCTTGAGGTCCCGGTGTACTATAGGTGGTTTCTGCTTGTGCATATGCTGCACACCCTTACAAGTCTGGTAGAACACCTTTAGCACCTGGTCACGGGGCAGAGGGGATGACCGAGCATTCAGAATGTGCACTAGCTCCCCACCTGCAACAAACAGCAAATAAGATGATCCACACATTGGCAGTTTTCCTGGCCCTCTCTGTAGTACAAAGAGGTTATCACGCTTGTGTGTTTGGGGATGGTAAATATCCTGCATTAGGAATAAACATTGTATTTAGCGAGCCTTGGTGAGCTAAATACATAGTGTTTATTCCTAATACAGGATATTTACCAACCCCAAGCACACAAGCGTGATAACCTCTTTATCATATAATGTCATTCTTTAATACTTTGCTTCAATATCGCTTTCCCTCTCTCACAAATATTGACGAAACATTGCGAGTTTTCCTGGAATGCGCGCATTAATATTTATTACGTAACAGGGTAAGTGATGTGTCAGTCGGACAGTGACAGTAGCCAATATAGTTCCAACTGAAATCTGTTACTTATCCAGTGGGGAAGCAACATATACGGAAAACAACAATTGATTTTAATTGCCTTTCGCGGCAATCCATCGGTCTGTCCGCTAGAGTAACTGCCCTTTGTCAAAGGGAAGCTACTCTAACCCTAGTCTATGAGACGTCACAGCCACGGTCAGACGTTGTTGACAGTCGGTCTGTCCTGTCATAACGTTAAGAAGTGTAGTCAGATGTACAGACAGCAACAAAACGAAACAAGGTAACAATTCAAACATATTTCGGCCAAATCCAACTATTTTAATTTGTGGAGAAGGTTTCAAGCCGCATAGGTCTACAAGCACAGATATGGCTACTGATCCCGCTTGGCTAGGCCTCGTGCCCTCGCAAAATTGTTTCGAAATTTATATCTCCAAAGTTGCCAAAACTTATAAAATGCCTTAGCTACGTCACAGTAAGACACTGATTTTCAGTATATTAGACTGTTCTTTTGATAATGATAGCAATTATCACTGTAGTTTATCCAGATTCCCGATGGTTAATTCTGATTCGATCGCCGAATGACGAGGGCGATGCCATGTTTGTTTATAAACAGCGAAAGTAGTCCCTACTTGACCTTTGATATTTGCATCTCTATCCGCATATGACCCCAACGGATATCGTTTTTATCCGTTGGCTTTATCCTGCCGAGAAACCTACCGATTATATGATAAAGCAAGTTATCCTACACTTTCATGGGACCAGGTGAGGTAAGACTGCACTTACATGAGACCAGGTGAGGTAGGACTGCACTTACATGAGACAAGGTGAGGTGAAACTGCTCTTACATGGGACGAGGTGAGGTAAGACTGCACTAACATGAGACAAGGAAAGGTGAGGTGAGACTGCTCTTGCATAGGTACGGGTGAGGTAAGATTGCACGTACATGGGACCAGGTGAGGTAAGACTGCTCTTGCATGGGACCAGGTGAGGTAAGACTGCACTTACATGGGACCAGGTGAGGTAAGACTGCACTTACATGGGACCAGGTGAGGTAAGGCTGCTCTTACATGGGAACAGGTGAGGTAAGACTGCACTTACATGGGACCAGGTGAGGTAAGATTGCTCTTACATGGCACCAGGTGAGGTAAGAATGCACTTACATGAGACAAGGTGAGGTAAGACTGCACTTACATGGGACCAGGTGCATTAAGACTGCACTTACATGAGACAAGGTGAGGTAAGACTGCACTTACATGGGACCAGGTGCATTAAGACTGCACTTACATGAGACAGGGTGATGTAACTAGACTTCTCTTGTTACATGGGACAAGGTGAGGTGAGACTGCACTTACATGGGACCAGGTGAGGTAAGACTGCACTTACATGGGACCAGGTGAGGTAAGACTGCTCTTACATGGCACCAGGTGAGGTAAGACTGCACTTACATGAGACAGGGTGATGTAACTAGACTGCTCTTGTTACATGGGACAAGGTGAGGTGAGACTGCACTTACATGAGTGAGTGAGTGAGTGAGTGAGTATGGTTTTACGCCGCTTTTAGCAATATTCCAGCAATATCACGGCGGGGGACACCAGAAATGGGCTTCACTCATTGTACCCATGTCGGGAATCGAACCCGGGTCTTCGGCGTGACGAGCGAACGCTTTAACCACTAGGCTACCCGACCGCCCCGCACTTACATGAGACAATGTGAGGTAAGACTGCACTTACATGGGACCAGGTGCTTTAAGACTGCACTTACATGAGACAGGGTGAGGTAACTAGCCTGCTCTTGTTACATGAGACAAGGCGAGGTAAGACTGCACCTACATGGGACAGGTGCTTTAAGACTGCACTTACATGAGACAAGGTGAGGTATCTAGACTGCTCTTACATGGGACCAGGTGCATTAAGACTGCACTTACATGGGACCAGGTGAGGTAAGACTGCACTTACATGGGACCAGGTGCATTAAGACTGTTCTTACATGAGACAAGGTGAGGTAAGACTGCACTTACATGGGACCAGGTGCATTAAGACTGCACTTACATGCGACAGGGTGAGGTAACTAGACTGCTCTTGTTACATGGGACCAGGTGAGGTGAGACTGCACTTACATGAGACAAGGTGAGGTAGGACTGCACCTACATTGGACCAGGTGCATTAAGACTGCACTTACATGAGACAAGGTGATGTAAGACTGCACTTACATGGGACCAGGTGAGGTAAAACTGCTCTTACATGGCACCAGGTGAGGTAAGACTGCACTGACATGTGACCAGGTGAGGTAAGACTGCACTTACATGGACCAGGTGCATTAAGACTGCACTTACATGAGACAGGGCGAGGTAACTAGACTTCTCTTGTTACATGGGACCAGGTGAGGTGAGACTGCACTTACATGAGACAAGGTGAGGTAAGACTGCACCTACATTGGACCAGGTGCATTAAGACTGCACTTACATGAGACAAGGTGAGGTAAGACTGCACTTACATGGGACCAGGTAAGGTAAAACTGCTCTTTCATGGCACCAGGTGAGGTAAGACTGCACTGACATGAGACCAGGTGAGGTAAGACTGCACTTACATGGACCAGGTGCATTAAGACTGCACTTACATGAGACAGGGTGAGGTAACTAGCCTGCTCTTGTTACATGGGAGAAGGCAAGGTAAAGCTGCACCTACATGGGACCAGGTGCTTTAGACTGCACTTACATGAGACAAGGTGAGGTGAGACTGCACTTACATGGGACCAGGTGAGGTAAGACTGCTCTTACATGGCACCTGGTGCTTTAAGACTGCACTTACATGAGACAAGGTGAGGTGAGACTGCACTTACATGGGACCAGGTGAGGTAAGACTGCTCTTGAATAAGAACAGTTGAAGTAAGACAGTAAATGTAAAAGTGGTGCTGCACGTACCTGAACACAGCTCAGTGAGCAGGAGGTATTCATGCTGGCCATGGTCAGACTCCTCCTTTCCAATAGCTGCTGCAGTGATGAACTGGACTATGTGGGGGTGGCCAGACAATTTCTTCTAACACAGGTTCAGGAAAATCAAACTGAAGTAGTTAGATGGACAGAGAAGATGAGATGAGTGTTCTCATGGATGCATGTATTAAATGGGCCAACCGCCTTGTATCTTTTCCACAAGGTTCCTGTTATTCCTGTTGAGGGACATGTGCAGTGTGGTCCATCATGTATTCATGGTATCAGAATGTCTAGTGATCACACAAATCTGTACACCCCGATACCTCTTGATTACCCCTATCAAATGTAATTACATGAACTTGGGTATTCCTGATAATAATATACTTATTCTGACAATTTCAATCTCCTTCTTCACTTCAATCATATAACACAGAATCCAAAACATGACTCTTTTACATCCAGCGCACCCCTTGCACTATCAGATATATCTGTCCTAGATCCCTCACTGCCTTTACATCAGGAGTGAGTGATTTTGGTTTAATGCTGCTTTGAACAGTATTCCAGTTATATCACAGCGTGTCAGCTAAATGTGGAAGGAAAGCCCCAAGTGATGCAGGTCTCAGCTGTTTACCACTTTGGTTAAACCCACAAGCATGGGTTTGGTGCCGACAAACCTAGAAACATATTCAGGATGTAGCTTGATCTCCAGAGGGGGGATCGATGGACAGGCTTGAGCCTTGTGTCAGGGTACGTACACTAATATCATGAATACCCAGACTCAAGTAAATTATTTCCCGCCCGACACAACACATTGCAATGTTTATCCCACAGTTGTTGGTGGGGTCTGCAGCTTGTGTTATTAGTGTAGCATTATGTTCGTAAATAGCATATTATTAGATTTTAAAGCATCATTGCAGTAAACTAACATGAATTAAATTCAATAACCTAAACCTAAATATTCAACATTTATTTCCTTAAAAACTTGCACTTGCACAAATGTACTAATTCATTGGTAAGCTAGTTTCAGTATATAGCTTGGGGAGTTCACCCAATTCTTTTTTAGGTTCATGGCTTGTGTCACTGGGTGGGTTACTGGCTTGGCCTGTGATTAGGTGCTTATTGTTCTTTGGTTGTGCATGATCTCTTCAATCATGTCTGGTCAGAACTTCTATTGGCCAGTCGGCATATTTTCTCTGCACTTTCACTTCCATGCACCATATAGGGTAAGTTCATTTAATTATTCTTTCATTTATCCTGAAACTAAGGTTAGGTTACTATGCATTTTAAAGCATTGTCGTTGTATATATTATTTTAGCTGGCATTGTGTAATGAAACTGTAATGTATTCCTAAGATTCAACTTACTTGTGTATTTGAGATATTAGCCATGTCTACATATTGTAATATGGAAATAAACTGATAAGAAGTGCTTTTTGTACACTTATCATGTATTTTGTAGAATCTATAATGCCTGTATTCCATACATGCTAGTGTAACTGTGGTTATAGTATATTTACATATAGCATATTTGCACATCTATTTGTGCAGGGCTATTCACTGCACTCCTGTAAGAGAGGTTCGGGCCTGCGTCCCTGAGACGAGGTATGATATTTAGGTTTTATTAATTGTGCATGAATAACTCTGCATAAAGTGTAAGATGTCTTATCGAGAGGGATTTGTTAAAATATATATGCCAAAAGGAATGAACTATACATGCTATAAATCTAAATTATTAGTATTATTGTTGTTATCTAGTGCCTTTTACTGTCCATACCATGATGTTTATTAGTAAAATTATGAACGTTTTAGGGCAAATCCGGACTACCTTGTAGTACACACTTCACACTCATTCAGATATATCCCTTTTAACCCTACAAGTACTCCGTCATCATTGAGAAGACAATGAGTACCGCTGTTACACTGGTAACCAGCACCGCAGTATGCCTGGATTAAACTATGTGAATGCCTTCTTCACTAATCCTGTATCACCTCTCACATACTCTTAACATGCAAAGCTAAACTCCATGGTCGAGTGCAACTTTCAATATGCAATGCTTGGAGGATCGGAACTTCAAGATCTAGCGAATTGCAACAAGAGCACAACAATCCCTCAGAATATTTATTGTGACACAAAGTGACACCAGGGAAATATCTGGCAAAAACATAGTGGTGGCTTGTTATGATGATCTGAATGCTTGATGCGATTGTATCTTACCACTTGCTGGCGTTGAATCAACCTCCTACCAAGTGAAGTGAGTGAACTGGGACCAGGTCCAAACTTCTGGTTTCATCTGCCATCATTTTCACATGCATGAACATCGTCATCCCTAACATAATAAACATCCGGAACGGGACTGGACACATATATTTCCTATCTCCCTTGAACACACAGTGATACATTACTAACATAACCAGCTACTGCCAGAAAATTCTACACTGTTGATGTTCTTTCCCCTCGTATGTTGATGACTGCATTGAACAAAGAAAATCATATGATCAACTAAAGTTACAACAAGGCAGCGTCGTCTTCAAGTCAAGTCTCCTCAGTGCATGACGCCAAAAGTCAGAGCTGCTTACTTATGTTGAGGTGATATCCAGACTGCCTCCAACGTATAGCTGTGACAATAGGTGACAGCAGACCCCAATTGTCCAGAAAGGGCAACAAGTCACTGATGGTTAAGATTAAGTCACCTCCTAAAGTTGTTGAAACATCTTTGTCATCTCCTCTCTCCCTGAATCTAACTTGCAGGGGGTGCCTCCAGAGAGCATATTGGTGTCTCTGGATCACATGACATCATTTGCATCATCACCAGTTGAAGTGATGCCTAGGAAAGAGCAACTAGAAGCATTGATGCCATCTGGAACTAACTGTGTAACTGTTGTCAATGGAATAGGGGCTACTGGAGAGGTGACAAGTGAAAGGAACACCGAACACCGATTCCCATGAAACACTTTCGTTTCGGGTAGCGCTCTGGAGACAAGACCGTTGGCTATCCAGGACACAGAATGGAGGTTCAAGGCGTCACGACGTCACGATGTTGGATCCCACATAAGCACCCATGGACTGCACGGCATGAAACAGCGCTTTTCCCTGGGAAGGTGTCAATCCCAGGAAGAACACCAATCCCGTGTAGAGCTCCCACCCTGAGTGGAACACCAGCCTCCAGTAGAGCTCCCACCCTGAGTGGAACACCAGCCTCCAGTAGAGCTCCCACCCTGAGTGAAACGCCAGTCTCCAGTAGAGCTCCCACCCTGAGTGAAACACCAGCCTCCAGTAGAGCTCCCACCCTGAGTGAAACGCTGGTCTCCAGTAGAGCTCCCACCCTGAGTGGAACACCAGCCTCCAGTAGAGCTCCCACCCTGAGTGAAACGCCAGTCTCCAGTAGAACTCCCACCCTGAGTGAAACGCTGGTCTCCAGTAGAGCTCCCACCCTGAGTGAAACACCAGCCTCCAGTAGAGCTCCCACCCTGAGTGGAACACCAGCCTCCAGTAGAGCTCCCACCCTGAGTGAAACGCCAGTCTCCAGTAGAACTCCCACCCTGAGTGAAACGCCGGCCTCCAGTAGAGCTCCCACCCTGAGTGAAACACCAGCCTCCAGTAGAGCTCCCACCCTGAGTGGAACACCAGCCTCCAGTAGAGCTCCCACCCTGAGTGGAACACCAGCCTCCAGTAGAGCTCCCACCCTGAGTGAAACGCCAGTCTCCAGTAGAACTCCCATCCTGAGTGAAACGCCAGTCTCCAGTAGAGCTCCCACCCTGAGTGAAACGCTGGTCTCCAGTAGAGCTCCCATCCTGAGTGAAACGCTGGTCTCCAGTAGAGCTCCCACCCTGGGTGGAACACCAGCCTCCAGTAGAGCTCCCACCCTGAGTGGAACACCAGCCTCCAGTAGAGCTCCCACCCTGAGTGAAACGCCAGTCTCCAGTAGAACTCCCATCCTGAGTGAAACGCCAGTCTCCAGTAGAGCTCCCACCCTGAGTGAAACGCTGGTCTCCAGTAGAGCTCCCATCCTGAGTGAAACGCTGGTCTCCAGTAGAGCTCCCACCCTGAGTGGAACACCAGCCTCCAGTAGAGCTCCCATCCTGAGTGAAACGCTGGTCTCCAGTAGAGCTCCCATCCTGAGTGAAACACCAGCCTCCAGTAGAGCTCCCACCCTGAGAGGAACATCAGCCTCCAGTAGAGCTCCCATCCTAATTGAAACGCCGGCCTCCAGTAGAGCTCCCATCCTAATTGAAACGCCGGCCTCCAGTAGAGCTCCCATCCTGAGTGAAACACCAGCCTCCAGTAGAGCTCCCACTCTGAGTGAAACGCTGGTCTCCAGTAGAGCTCCCACTCTGAGTGAAACGCTGGTCTCCAGTAGAGCTCCCATCCTAAGTGAAACACCGGCCTCCAGTAGAGCTCCCACTCTGAGTGAAACGCCGGCCTCCAGTAGAGCTCCCATCCTAAGTGAAACGACGGCCTCCAGTAGAGCTCCCACTCTGAGTGAAACGCTGGTCTCCAGTAGAGCTCCCATCCTAAGTGAAACGCTGGTCTCCAGTAGAGCTCCCACCCTGAGTGAAATGCCGGTCTCCAGTAGAGTTCCCACCCTGAGTGAAACGCCAGTCTCAAGTAGAGCTCCCACCCTGAGTGAAACGCCAGTCTCCAGTAGAGCTCCCACCCTGAGTGAAACGCCGGCCTCCAGTAGAGCTTCCACCCTGAGTGAAACGCTGGTTTCTAGTAGAGCTCCCACCTTGAATGGAACACTGGTTTCCAGTAGAGCTCCCATCCCAAGCCGAGTAACAATCATGGAAGGGTGCTGGATCTAAGTTAAGTGCCAGCGCTAACACCAGGAGAAACCCTGTCCAAGAAAGGAAACAGCATCAGTCAGCCATGTAGTCATCATAGTCGTCAATCCTGAAGGTCATTACAGTAGCAGCCTCTCTCTCCCTCAATACATTACACTCTGCACAATGGTAATCTAAGCCAGAGTAAGATTGCAATCAGGACCATCAATGTTGGGATCCATTCTTGACATGCCTAAATGACAATGGCTGCAGAGAAGACACACGTCTTCATCAATACTCGTGCCATCCTTTGAATGGTTGAGAACGTATCAGCAATGCTATTAACA